CGAATATCCAAACGTGCCGCGAATCAAACTGATCCAAAGTTAGAGGCAGAGCTTCAATATTTCCGTGAATATTTCGCTTTCGTCTAAAGATAATATCGGATGGACCAGTGTGAAACTCGTGTGGTGCTCACACTACAAGTATTCTAATTCACATGTTGAGTTTTACACTGGTCCACCGGATATTATATTTAGAGGGGGACGAAATATTCTGGGAAGTATGCATTAACTTAGATAAGTTTGAATAGCGGTCGCAAAGGCGACATCATCTTCTTTTATATATTTGCTTCTTGTTTCAACTTGTAATTATTTTATTATTTATTTATTATTTATTTATTTATAAATTATTATTATTATTATTATTATTGTTGTATTCGATTTTAAATTTTGAATATCCCGCCATTCTCTTTGAATTATATTAGACTACATCTTAGGTTAGTCACAGTTCTATGTTCCATGTCAATATGTCAATGTATGTTCTGTGTACAATTTATTCTGTGTTTTGTGATGGGGAAGAGGTACAGCTTTTTCAAAAAAAACACTCTTGTTCGCCATTAGGTAAAAGACAAAGCGTTTACCAGAGAAATTAGGTTTGCCCACAAATTTATTATGTTTTATTAAAAAGTGGTTCAAAAACTATTTATTTTATTATTGGACCACCTCATTATTTATTATAATTTCATGACGGAAGTATATTCGGATATATAGGCTGCTCAGACTGAGGGCTGAGACAGGTGGGTTTTCGAAATCTACCATTCAGTTGGAATCAGATGGCATAATTCCTATCACGTTATCAAATCGCGAAATCGAGTGCAAATTTCCGCACAGGAAAGAGCAATTTTTCAATCATTTTGCTCAGGATAAGGAATATTACAATTGCCGTTCGATAAACTGAAATGTGTTTACATGCCTTTGGAATATATATCATTTCGTTATCAAATGACGGTCGAAATTTAGCAGCCATTTCTTGGAATACTATGCATATGTTATTGCACTATCTTCTGTCGAATTATCTTGTACCATCATCAGCATGCAGTCAAAATTGAATCACTTCAAACATCGTGAATATACCCATTTTGGTATAGGACGTATCATTTACTTTGGAATCTCAAAACAAATAGATTTCTTTCCAAACAGTTACAATTTGGCAACCTTGAGAAGAAAGATCCATCGATATTTGACATTTTCTCAGTGCACGCAAATATGCTAAGGGATCGTATCTTCAAACTTTTTCGAATACTAGTGTTGAAAAAAGAGAACAGAATACTGAAGAGATTATCGAATTAGAACTCGTCTTCAGCGTTTTTTCGAACTGAATCGAAGTTATTCAGTCTGTTTCGTTTTCGTTGAACTATACTATAATGTATGAAATAATCGCATGTTTTGTATTAACTCGTGGATAATGTTGTCCGATTATGACAATAATATGCAATCTATTTTCAACGACCTCAAAGGTAAAAGCTGAAAAAAATGTTTTTCATATGGAAGAAATTGTTTTTCAAAACCATTTGTTATTACGTATATACTTGGAAGTTTCTAGCTCATATATATAATAACTAACAAGTTGTCAGGTCGTATAGAATTCAACAATTCAACATTTTCTAAATTTTGTAACAAGCATATACGAATTAATGGAGGTATAAATACTCAGATGCGTTTATTATTCAAAATGATTCTATAGAAGAAAATTATTCCATTTTTATAATATGGAATTCACGACTGTATAATTTGGAAAAATATTGATTGAAATGAAAGCTGGAATCGCTATTTTCAACTCATAACTTTGCCACCTATTATTCACGACTGATCTGTAATGTAAAGAATGAACTGGTGGTTTTTGCAGTATACTCAGTGTCTCAAGTTACCGTTTACAGGCAATATCTCGCTTAGTTGACAAGATAGTAAAAAAATAGAAAACTGTTTTAAATGGCATTAAAGTGCCTTCCGAGTGACTCATAAAAACATTGCAACCAACCACCTTCTTCCGACCGTGTCCCCACGGGTAGGTTCACTGGTTCAGTGTTTTCCGATCCATGGTATGTTGATGTGGGCACCTCCCTAAAAAAATTTACCTACTCACCTATATACCCCAAATAATACAATCAATTATCTTCTTTTCCAATCGCAGAGCAGTACTCGATATGTGAAATCGAGAATTTCGAGCGATTTTCAATTTCTTTTCAGTTCCTGAATGTCAAATCTGTTTATAGATAATATTTGTTGAGGTGTCTCCAAAATAACGAAAATGATTCAATTACCTCGAATATTTCCCTCATATATCGGTAATTGCACTGCGGAGCAAAGATTGCACTGCGAAGAGATCCCGACAACACATTTAAAATAAAAAAACACAAATTAATTTCAGATGGACTTCAAAAAGTGAAATAATGTCGCGTTTTGGTGAGTGCTCCACTCGGTGCTCCATGCAATCTATCCAGGAAAGTATAAATGAAAGTGAACCAAAAAATACCAAATCTAGCAGAGAATTTCTTTATTCGTGAAATATTCCAGTGAATTACATTCGTGCATAAAAATGATGAGACAATTTTGCATTCAAGCGTGTCATCTTATATAGATTGCCCTCATCCTTCGGACTCGGGCTCTTTCGCCAAAATATGAAAATAAACGCCTGCAAATTTTCAGATGACACGCTTTCTTGCAAAATTATCGGTGATTTGTATGCACTTATGCAATTATAACCGAATACTTCCCTCATTATATGAAATGACTCATATGAGCAATGCAATTATCGCACAATTCCAGCGGTAAATGCACTGCAGAGCGAATATTGCACTGCGAAAACAGTGAAAAAAATTTCGCGTTTTGGTGAGTGCTCCATACAAAAAAAAAAACGAAATTTCTTCGAGAATTTCTTGGCCCAGCCCTGTGGTGCCCCCTACACAGGGCTAATAAGGCTGTTTACTCTGAAATGTCTTCCTGCTTCCCAGTAACCCCGTTAGGCGTGGTGCCATTCCTCCATCGCCACGGGTTTCCACAGCTTGGATTAGGTTGCCAGAGCCTCGTTGACCAGTCCTTGGCCACCTAGACAGATATCAGCAAATCGCCCTATCATTACCACAAATGTCCACAAATATTTGTCCCATATATGGCACGGAGATATCAAAGATGGAGATGGTCCCAAAGTGCTTCATATGTCGAGCGGTCGCGGTCTGTGCTCCCCACACCACTTGATGGTGAGGTTGGCATTGGAGAGGAAGAGGAAAAGAGAAGATGACCAGAGAAGGCCGATAGGATAGATACGAGGGGTAAACCGCGGTGGAATTCTGGTGTACAAACAACTGGAATTCCTTGGAATTCCCTGGAATTTCCGGGATTTCGTTGGAATTCCTTGGATTTCCTTGGAATTCCTTGAATTTCCTTGAAATTCTTTGGATTCCCTTGGAATTCCCTGGAATTCCTTTGGTGGAGTGCGGTATATTCCTGGTCTACAAACAATTGGAATTCCTTGGAATTCCTTGGATTTCCTTAGAATCCCTTGAAATTCCTTGGGTTTCCATAGATTTCCTTGGAATTCTTTGGGCTTCCTTGGAATTCATTGAGTGAAGTGCGGTATAATTCTAGTGTACAAACAACTGGAATTCTTTGGATTTGTTTAGAATCCCTCGAAATTCCTTGGATTTCCCTAGAATCCCTTGAAATTCCTTGGGTTTCCTTAGATTTCCTTGGAATTCATTGGGTTTCCTTCGAGGTTTCCTTGGAATTCATTGAGTGTAGTGCGGTATAATTCTGGTGTACAAACAACTGGAATTCCTTGGATTTCCTTGGAATTCCATAGATTTCCTTGGAATTCCTTGGATTTTCTTGGAATTCCTTGGATTTCCTTGGATTCCCTTGGAATTCCTTGGATTTCCTTGAAATTTCCTGTAAGTCCTTGGAGTATCTTGTGAAATTGAAGCTTGGTGTACACAATTTTGACCGCGGTTTACCCCTCGGATAGATAGGAAGAGAGATGAGGATATCACCCAAGACAGTTGAAGTTTGGTGAATATCCGGCTAAGGTACCTCGGATTTACCATTTCCGTACTCACAAGTTGTCAGCCCCTGAGGGTCCTTTCCTCCCTAGGTATACGCACGATGTTCTTGGAACAATATAGGAATTTCCTTTCGTGCGCTCCAAGAGATAAAAAAATTTGGTAATGGTGGGTACCCAAGTAGGTACTGTTTCAGATATCCTTGATTTTCCTCGAATATCTATCGATCTATTTCAGAAAAAACATAATACATAGATATATCTACGTGGTGTTTTTGAAATGAGTACATAATTTTATTCAGCACATCATCGGCACATCGATATTGATACAGTCTAAGGAATATTCTGATGATTTCAGATTTTTTTTCTAATTCTTCTAATTAACGCGAATTTTCATCTCGAAAATTGAACAAAAAACTAGAAAAAATCGAGTAGATCACTTATTTGAGACAATTTAAATGATTGAACTCCGCGTGATTGTACCTTTCGTCAGAATCGCTACAGTGTAGAACTTAGGGTGGAAATAAGGGGGTCTAATCCCAAATTTTATTTTAATCCCTATATTTTTTATTGGTGCCGGTGCCATTCGATAGTATATATACGTCGATCTTTCTCAGGGTATGAAATATTTGCACTTATTTCAATACAACCCATAGACATATACCAGAAAGTTTCTCAATATTTTTTGCTGAGCTAATATCGCAGAATAACTACAATAAATTGAAATCGATAATGCGGAGCGGTGATTACCAAAATTTTTTATGTTCATTTTGAAGAAGTGATTTCGAAAGTAATATAAATATGAGGCAACAATATACGAAGTACCTATACCTCGTACCTACCTATCATAAGCACAATATTTTCCCTAATTTGATGTTTTGAGCGCATATAACTCGTATTCGGTGACTATAGTGGAGTTGCATACTTCAGTTTTTTAGTCTCGGTCTTATTAGTCGAGCTCATGCACATAGGTACCTACCTACTCAAAATACGAAACATATTAATATCATACCTCAGTTTTGGTAATTCTATGTTTGGCTAGCTTCACCACCGCGAAGTTTCCTTTCCCGATGGTCCTCTCTATATCGTAAAAACCGACCCGAATCGGATTCTTCGTTATCCTTTCCCGTTCACCCATTTCCGCGACTTTATGACTGAAAGTCTAAACGAAATGTCCCAATTCACGCTGGCATCTATAAACGACTGCTAGTATTTATTGCTAAATTCGATGTTAGGTATTGTCATTATTGTGCTTGTGGACGATCTCGCGATACCTCCGAATCGGAGTTCTAAACTCGACTATCAGTGAGTGTCAGCTGTTTCACTCTCCCACAGTTCCATTGCATTGCTCAGATCTAGTGCGCCGTGCGACGCCGCTTGCCGCTTGACGTAGGTAGACACGAACGCACGAAGGATTTTCCGCAAAACCTCATTATTAAAAAAATAATATGATGCTGTTGTAATCTGCACTCTCAAGAAAAGTTATTATTTCATTGTGTAACTCTTTTGATTGTTATTGAGATACTTCGAAATCACTCATTGGAGAAATCCAAATCACTGCGACCACTGACCACGTCCTTCTGAATTCATAATCAAATTCATCGAGCAATATAATTTGTTTTGTTAAATACAGAGTGTCCCATGAGTAATCGGTCCCTGACTCGCATCAAAAATAATAAATGTAACTATACATGGTGTCCCTGGACTTTCTCTTCTAATCTCGGGAATGTATTGATGGGGTCAAAATATCACCAGTATAGGTACTTCATATAACTTTTTCACCTAAAATCCTTCGTTACCTACCAAGATATGATATAGGTACTGCATGCTATTTGTTTAAGACTTCATTTTAGCATATTTTGTATTATCCCTCTTATACATGTTGTTGAATCAACGTTATCATGATTAATCTGTAGTAGACGTCCATGGTATTTCAAAGTGGAGTCAATGAAGTAGTAGAAAAAGTCCCAGTCATCTCCACAATTATTTTAATAAAAATCTTAAATGATTTTAGGACATATTTCGAACCTATATAGGTTCATCTTCAGCTATATGCAAAAATAATACAAAAGATATAGCTATATAAATGAATTAATATCTTAATCTAGTCACATATGGAGCAGAAAATTTCTTATCTGGTCTACGCGAGTGTTTTCAATTCCTCCTCCCATCCTATTGTATAGTAAGGACGTAATCTCTTGATGGCTTTCAATTTCCTCAAGTGCCGCAACATACAATATTGGATCGGCACATGTTCCTATTTTTTTCATGCTCACGATTTGATGGACTGGCGAGTATAATAAAAACTATATTATCTTCTATCTGCTCCTCTGCCTAAAAATTGTGTATTTACCGAATGAGTATACCTACCTTACTTTAGCTGGTCTTCACAGTTTTCAGGTTTTTGAATATAATACTTACTCCTGCATCTACAGATTAGATATATAGATTTCACTTGCAATAATTAGCTTCATTTATTGCTTCAATACCTTCATCGTCAGTTACAACTCCATTTACCTATTGATGGGCCTGAGCCTGAGTTAACAATTTCATTTTGTCATTTTGAATAAGTACTAACCCAAAGTTCACTGTCTTGAACCATTTTCTTCTCAGAGCTCCGTTAATTTTTCAGTCAATTATTGAAATGCTTGTCGGTATATAACGTCATCAGAAACTAGCGTTTTTGAAAGTGTGCCGACTTTAATCATTGAGTATTTTTGAAGATTTTAAATGATAAATATTTGAGTCAAACACAAAGTAGTTATGAGTATACATAGGAAGATCGATATAAAATACATTTTTAGCGTAAATTCGACTACGTGTACAACATCATTGCAAGTTTTAACTGACAATTGTCCCAAATTAATTGAATTTATTCATCCCGTTTCAATATCTGTTCAGCGCTTTCAGAATATACTTCCATAAGGAAAGTTCAAAATAGTATATTATTATTACTATTTCAGACCTAATAATGGGACTAGAACTAAGGACTAATTGAGGGGTATTCAATTCCGTGTCCTGTGTATGTAATTGCAGGAGAAACAGATCATTTGAAATATTGGCGGCGGTTGAGTAAATGGTGGGTGGCATTCAGCCCATTCACCATTATATTATACCGGATGGTCCACTATATAGACTATATCCACCCTCAGAAAAAAAAAGAGGGAGACACCGTTTGTGTAGAAGGTATCACATACGTCAACCCCCATCAAGCAACAGCATCTATGAATTCTTTGGGGAATTAGGATCGTGTCATGTATCATTGGAAAGATTCTGATACTATCAAAGATATACCATAGATCCGGCCACAATTGCCTTACTGTCCTGTACTAAGCATTGAAATTCACAGAACAAAAACAAATAATACTGTCTGTAGGTTAATCGATGAAATTATTTCAGATTATTTGGGATATTTTCTCCTCGTCTCTATAAAATAAAAATATCAATATTTTTTCAATAGGTAAGTATGATTTTCAATCGTGTCGAGCCAATATTTATATGCTCTCTTCTGACCGGCTCTGGAAGTACTTTACTAATAATTTATACCGCCATCTATCGACATCAGAGTGATATGAGATAATTATCGAAATGTCGGTATCGATATATGCATCTTGAAAACAATATGTAAACAATATTGCTCGCATGATATAGTGAATCAGGTACTAATAACCAATGTAAAACTATATAAATTGATCGATGTGCAATTGGACTTGGAAAATAGTTATTTATTATACAAGGGAAAAAAGTAGTAGATTTTAGCTCCAGGTTGTGTTCTGAAAATTATCGACGTGAAATTTCAAGTTTTTAACAGTAGGGACACCTGCGTTTTATAGGCATCTTTATCATTCTTTTGAAGTAATCAAATATCTGATGTCACTTCTGTCAGTTCAATTCTGTGATTTGATTTTGAAAAATTCCGAATTCAGTAGTTGTTTAATAGTTGTTTGTTTAATATACGAAACCGCGAAGTCGAATGGAAGATAAAAGGACTTGCAGTTCTTTCTCGGAGACGGTATTATTGACTCATTTTTCGGAACTTTAGCACAACAAAAGCCATTAACAGAGTATATATATATATGTGATATATATCCGGGAAAGAAGTACTCACTTTTTTCCCACAGGAAAAAAGTAATTTATGAAAAGTGACATTTTATAACCTGCCAACAGAGATGAAATGCCAAACTTTTTTCCCGTCACAGAAAAAACAATATTATTTTCCTCTTCTAAGAGCGATATTAAGAAAAATATTGAATTGCCAATATAGGTATGCATCTTTAAAACAATATGCATTCGATATCTTCCGCATGATAAAGTTAAAACGATATCGATCAATATAGGTAAATATAATGTTTCAAATATTGTTGAAACAATATTCAACCAATATGCCATCGAACTCACAATACAATATACAAATTGCAATATTGGTTTTAATTGTTGGAGACACTATGTATACGATGTTGATGTTGTACCGACATTTGCGTAACAATAATATATAAAATTTATGTACTGAGTGCTTCGTAATATGTGGGACGCACTTCGAGAGGTGATAGGGTGTCTGGATAAAATAATAATGTTGCCATAAACAAAGGTTCTAGAAGGCTTCGTAGGGTGAAAATAAAAAATAATTTTCATTGAATCTCTAGACAACCGCTACACAAAAATTCTTGATATTCTGGTGCATAACTCAGTACCTGAGATTGATTGAGCATTGTGTAGCATTATTCAGTCAATCTGACTCCTAGTGGCATCGCTAAGGGATATTGGTATATGATTTTTCAGAAAATAATATAGGTGGCAATGAAACTTTCCGAAATTTCATTCATTCACTCAGAGGATGCAATTTTGTAGAAAAATGCACCGAGTGTAGAAACTCATAAAGATTCACTGTTTTCGAGAGAAACCGAATAAGCAAATTCAACTTCAAAATTTGATGTAATGTCCGAGGTTGTCGAATACTTAGTCCATTCAAGACATTTGTTAAGATTACTCTATAACCATGATAGATATCATTCTGTAATTGTGGCACTATGCCAGTCTCATAACAGTCTAAATTTTGCCACCACGATAAGTCATGCATACAGGGTAGACATAAATTTTTTATAAATATTCAACACCCAAACTCGCAAACAAAGCCTTCTACACGACTTTTGTTTATGGGAACTTCTTCATTTTCTTGAGACACCCTATCACCTCTCGAAGTGCGTCCCACATATTACGAAACACCCTGTATATGTTTTTCCACATATTAATTGTTAACGACCTTTTCAACCAATATTGGCTTCAATATTGTAGCTTAAAATCCACATTTGGCTCAGGTTGAACCAATATTCCACCAATATTATCATTCCAATATTTTATTTTCAATATACTCTCATATTGGACCAATATTAATCTTACATTTACAATATACAGGGTGTCACGAAATTCGACCGACAACGCTTGACGGGTGATAGCCCTCGTGATTTCATAATCACTGAGATAGGAACATATACGGTCTTCAAGTGTTCAGTTCTCGAGATACAGGGCGTTAAAGTTAAGAAATAAAAATAGTTGTTCGCAATATCTCAAGAATAATTAAATATGGGGCGGGTAATGCATTCAACTTCGGTATATGGTTTCATCTGTGAATGGGTAATTTTTTGACCAGGAAGCCATTCCGGGCATTTTATCCAGTGGTACCCTATATACAGGGGATTGTTGGGATGATTGATTAGAACAAAACAATAATAAGTTTTTAGAAGATGTTCAAATTGTTGCCCTTGTACTTCAATACATTTTTCCATTAAAATTCAATACCCCGTATCTTTTAACCGAAGGCCTTGCGGACCCATATATTCATAGGAACTTTTTTTTCTTATTTTAGTATCCTGTATTGCGTGGCACTATGCAATGTACTTTATTCTATGTCACCCTGTATATATCGGCCCAATATGAATTCAAGATTAGGCCAAGATGATGTGCTACCTGGGTAGGGTGGAACAGAATAGTTCATCATTCTTTGGTGGATCCGGATAATTCATCTTCTCATTAGGGCGTCCTCAAGGGGTAAACCCATATATCTACTACTCATATATGAAACATAGCTGTCCTCAAAAGCGGGACCAACTTCTGTCTCTATAGGCAACGAAATCGACTAATATAGTATAGGCGTTGATGCCGACGTAGGGAAAAAATAATACGAAACTTGTCAAACGAATATGGCTATTTCCATCCTTCACTTTCCGTCCTTTAGATTCAGAAAGTACCTCTCATTTTGGTCCCATCTTTGTTGAGATATCGTATAGGCGATGGGCCCTATATAGAAATAGTACATATATGGCTAAACCACTCTCCCAAAAACGTACATTTATGGGACAGATTGGACTGATATTATCGGATATCATCAAATACTATAATTATATACGGGATTGGACTTTGCATTGCGAGAATAGGAACATTGGCCTAAGATTGGACGGATTACATCGGGATTGGACACCAAGTGTACACATATATTGGTTGACCCCTCGGGCGTCCCCAAGCAAATTGGATTCAGAATGACGTCATATCACATATAACTGTAATCACCCGATCACAGAATAAAAGGTGTAGAGTCGCCATCATGAGGCATATCCTTATATTGGGTTTGACATGATGTTATGTAGTCTACTGTATTCCAGGCATCAATAAGATAATTCAATAGATATGATACCAATGTCAAGGACCGCGGTATTGATGAAAAAGTTTATTATCCGCCATCTTTTGTGGAAAATTCAGCCCGATTGGAAGGAAGCCAAATAAAATGAAAATAATCTCTGGTAGAAGTCCATGTTTGCTCAAAGTGGAGTGGAATTTTTAAAGGAGGAAGGAAAGCTCAAAGTCATCTCCACAACTTTAATATGAAGTTTATTCAACGGGACATGTTTCGAACTTATAAAAGTCCATCTTCAGCCGTATTTAAGAAATTACGAAAATAGTCTGAAGACTCTGAAGTCATCTCTTTTGACAGAATTTCCGAACATTGAAGTGTATAGGCAATTTTCATAATTTTATTAAAGTACTCAAGTTACAGCACATCAAAGTAATCAGAAGATGTATTATTACAAATCAGAGTATCTAACCTACATCCTTTATATCTAGACTCTGAAAATAAGAATCACGAATCACGACGAAATGTTGATCAATTTCATTCACGAATTGTATAAAAAGATTTAAGAAACCATCTGTTCATCCATTACTTTCAATATCCATTCTGGATGAGCTTTAGAGATGCTTTCAATGATCGAATTAACTTGGTAGCACAACGACTGAATCTGCTTATCCCATTGAGGCAGTGTTTCCCGGGCTAAAAAGATTTAAAAAATAAGTGGAATAATTACAAATTGATGTGATCAAAATAGGCATTTGAGAGGAAATATATTCAAAATATGTCGAATAGCCAATCAATTTTTTCACCGACTTGTGTATGTTGAATTTTTTCCCACTACTAGCTAGAGAACCTACCATTTTTACTCCTTTTCGATGCATAAAGTGTGTTTTTCAACCAAGGTAGTTTTCGTCATTTTAGGAACTACTAGTCAATAAACATTCAATTAAAATTGAAAAGAATTGCTTTCATTGTGACAATAGGTCCATATTTCAATTTCACAGAACTATAACGATTGAAATGTATTGCTAGTAGTGGTAATTAAATTGATATACACTTGGTGTGTAAATAACTATTCACCACTACTCACTAGCATTATACAATATACTTCAATCATCATAGTTCTGTGACCTATTGTCACTATAAACGCACTTCTTTTCAATTCTAATTAAAAGCTAGTAGCCATGACCATGACAGTATATTATGACAAGTCGATATTGATAAATACTTACCTACTAGATTTGAGTGCCATTCCTGAATTCGGGTTCATGAAATGACGAAAACTATCTCGAAAACTACCTTGATAGAAAAAACACACTTTAAGCCTCGAAAATGAATAAATAATAGTAGTTCTATAGCTAATGGTGGGAAAAAAATTACACAAGTCGTTGAAATAAATTGATTGGTTCAATTAGCTATTCCACATATTTTGCCTGTATTGGAGAACATCGCCCCTGTAATAGTCTGGCATGTAAGCCGCTGAAGACCAGCAAGCTTTGTCCTGGCTGTCCCTTGCAGACCTTTAGCCCACCAGATTACCAAGCCATACACATACGTGACCATTGGTTTTACCATTATCTGGAAAATCCTGTAAATCTGTTTGGGATTCATTCCCCATGATTTGCCGCATACCCTTCTGAGATTCCAGAGGGAAAATCTGGCTTTGTTAATAGTTTTTGCCATGTGGGCGTTCCAGTCTTTTATCTAGGGTGACACCTAGATATTTGACTTTCACCACAAACGGAATGCTCTCACCATATAAGACAGGCTGACGAAGCTTTTTGCCTTTTGTTAACAGAAATAATTACAGTTTTCCGGGAGTTCACAGATATCTGCTTCCTCTCGCACCTTCTGTTCACAGTATTAAGGGCTACTTGTAGGCCGATTGAAATCGTCGCTTTAAATTGTCCTCTTACTATTAGTACTAAATCATAAGCATAGCATTGGAAAACTACCTCATGCGTGAAAAGATCGTTCAGCAGAGAGTCAACAAGGAATGACCACATGGGAGGGAAGTATTCCGCCCTGTGGACAAGCTTTTACCGCTCTAAACCTGATCGACTCTCCATGAAGTGAATCAGTGATGATATGGCGTACCGATTTCCTATCATGGTTCTGATCTAATTGCATATTTGACTACCTTGTATTGCCATATAGGATGATTCTGATAATGCATTATTGAGCGCGCCTTCTATGTCCAGGAAAGCTGCAAGCGCAATTTCCTTATGATCAAAGGAATGGCTATCTTTCCTACAAGATTGTTTAGTGCTAAATCCGTAATTTGCCTGTTTGGTACATATACGTATTAACTAACGATATGGATAACAACGGGCTCCAAGTTGAAGCTAAAAATATGAGACAAATGATTATCTATATGGATTTGGTGGCAGGATGCGCATGCGCAAACATGGTAATCATCACAGAAATGCGTTATCGTATACCATGGCGTTCACCAGCTTTTGAATCAGAAGGATAGTATGTGTTTTATCGTTTCATAAGGTCATGACGTTCTGTTGTTTTCTTTTACGTTTCATGGACATGTTTAGTAGCAGAGATTTGATAGATATTATATATTTTCAGATCATATTTTCCATCTAAATTACATCCCATTTGAAAATGTGGTTATATTGCAGTAGTAATTAAAATAAAATGCTAGTGTACGCTGATACCATCTGATAACCATACTGATGACTAGAATTAACAAACAAATACTTGTTGAAGCCGTAAAATAAGCAAATTTTTTAGAGTATACTGGAAGAGAGAACTGGATAGGTATTATTATAGATCTTTGTGCATGAATATCCATAAATGGAATGTCAAAGATCAATAGGTTAGATGTCACGATGATGTGAACTTGCACATTTGGGCATGAGCAATATATCACCTTATGCCTATGGATAGTCATTTGTCTTTTAAAGTCGACTTTCTTTTGCGCTATGGAAACATATAGAGATCATCCATATTGTTCATTGATATGTATATGGTTTGGTAGACATATTGATGGGGATTCAGGGGATTTTCCTTCAGATTCCCCTCTCTGATATATGCCTGTCTAGAATTATTTCTAGAGATTTCAACTTGCAGGAAATAATTTAACCAGGAGAGGTAGTGAAACTTCTCTATCCCTCTGTAAGAGGGCAGAAAAAACTGCGTCCTCCCCGGAGACTTAAATGGGTAGAAATAATTCACCATCCATTTCACTGACTCTGGGGTGACCACCTTTATGAAAGTGTCCAATTTTGCCCACCCTGTACATGCGGTTTACATATTATCTCCATAATAAGGAGCACAAATTATCATTCCCAGGCTCTCCTCTACTAACTGAGAAACAATGCTGTAAATGATGAAATAGGTGAACAAATACTCACTTTCAAAATGAACAATTGAATCAATTTGATCAATGTAACCATTCATTCTGCCTTCCGTTATCATCTGGCTAGCAATTTTTTCAGCTTTAGAAGAGTGAATTTCAAGCAAAGCTCCTAGTTCCTCAAAACTGATGTTGTTGTACAATTTGCTAGCAGATAACAAGTTATGTTCAATTACAGCTCTGTCCAGAATAGTAGAACCATCCACTGTGGTGGCTTTCTGATGTGGTTGAAGGAGAGCTTCAAAGTCTCTCAGTTCTGACCTGAAAAATGATTGGAAAATGAAATAGTAAATAACATAACCATTGTTTGGAGTAACTTATTTTGCTCTAGTAGATATTTATAAAAGTAATAACTGAAGTGCAGCTTTAGATGCAGTAGATATACTATAATCATGTTTCTGTTATATTTGATCACACATCAGTGTTATTTAATAAAAGGTTTGCATGTATCGAATCATCTCATTTGATAATATAATAATAATTCTCAGCTTTAATGATTTTATGCACGACCGGGCGAAAAGTAGCACTTTACCGCCCGGAGTATAGGTAATTTTTAATGAGGATTCCTGTATAATTCAGGACATTTATATTTTAGTTGTGATGGTTCATTATCTAGTATAACAATTCTCTTGATATTCTTGAAATGCAAAATTATATGATCCAACCCAAAATAAGTTATATGTGATGACATTAATTGACAGCAAATAGGAAAGACCACTCCTTTTTCAAAAATGTTGAACATGGTAACATTGCTTACATGAATGATATTCCACACTGCAGCCGTGATGTATTTCTATCGTTCTTGAGGAGTGGAGAGGCTGGTATTCACAATAAAAAATCAAATATACCTGGTCGTGCATAAAATGTTGTATGTATCAATCAATCACCTAATTTTTTCAAGGAAAAAAACACAATTTAAGGAAGTTGAATGCTGCAATGAGGCATTTCCACAGCCATCATCAGAAGTTTTACAGGTTGATCCCTATAGAAGCATGACAAATCAAATATTTTTTTTTAATGGAACACACTGTTTTTCATATTTTTTTCAGAATTTGTGAATTTTTGTGATCACGAAAAAAATATACATATACATACAAGGTGATATCTTCTATTTTCACTTCTTCATCGCCACTCTTTTGGGCCTAGAAAAACCAAGTTTGTCTGATTAATTGGTGATCCCTGCATCAGGTTGGAATGTATTTGATAATGGTGCAATATACAACTGTCAAATATATCCTCATTCATTGATCTTCTAGTGTAAGAAAAGTGGTGATAATGAAGTAAAAATAGAAGATATCATACTGAATATATATTTCTGTGACAAAAAATCGCAGATTCCGAAAAAAATATAAAAAACAGTTTTCAATTTTGAAAAAAAAAAAATTGTGGTTTGCCACACTTCCAGGGATCTTCCTGTAAAACTTTTGATATGTGCTATGGAAAGGCTCCATTGCAGCATTCAACTTCAGCATATTGTTTTTTTATATAAAAATAATGTGAATATAGGGATGGGCCTTCTAGATGGATAACCCTGTACATAGTATTTAACACATTTTTATGAATAAAAATGAAAACTCCTGTATTTGAGGCTTATTCAAGTCTACTCTGGAGTCTACTATTCAAGTAATGAAACAGGAATTTCTAGATAGAGTTGTTTCCAGTTTTCAGAAAATTTTATGCAATCCTCTTCTTCTGAAACCTAGTCTGGAACCCATACATTTATTTTCTTGTATTTTCTCAAATTTCTTCAAATTTTCATTTCCAGAACAAAGCAGAAGATCAGGAGGTTATGAAAATCAGCCCACAGAATAGATTTTACTGTATCTTACCTTCTAATGATCCTCTCCAAATACATTTTTTCTAGAATAGCAACAGCTGGCAACTGTTGGCACCTCTCATCTTTGAACAGTGTTGCCAACATTCTAGACCTTTGCTGACCAGCAGAAGCTAAAACTGTACAAATCAAAGCATTTCTCAGAGCTGTCATCCTTTCATCTTCATGGACAATAGTCCTATAGGAGAGTTCATTATAACGCTGAGCTGCTTCTATGAATTTTCTGCGATAATCCAAAACTCTAGCATAACAGACTTTGTAATATATCTGAAGCTGTTCATTCCTTGATTCAGCTTGAAGAAGTGAAGCCCTATTGATGAATGCTTCAGCTTGAACTGAATCATCATTCTCCAAGTAGAGCCTGGCAATTTTCAAATATGTTTCCAGTTTGTAATCCACTGTATACTGCTTTTGACCAGTCTCTAGTGGAATTCCAACCAGAACAACTGCTGCTTCTCTCCACATTTGGTTACGTTCATATATATCAGCTAAATGTTGTCTGATACTAGCTACTTGCTCTTCAAAAGAAATTACTCTGGGTTGTACTTTTTCCAGCATATAGTGTGACACAGCTTTTGAGACATCATCTGGTAATTTCATTAGATGGGAGCTTATTTCAGTTAAAATTTGTCTTGATATCACCAAACTAACATTCTCATTTACAACTACAAAAGATATATTATTGGTACACTACACAATTTTACCTCAAACAAATCAATACATTAAGCTATCTCAACATCTTCAACAGGAGATTCAAACTAAATATCCCATTCTAAAATGCTTGTTCAAAGAAGAGGAATCTAGGTAGTATTGAAAAATTATCAAATCTCAGAATTTCAGAGAAACTAATATTTCACCTCCTTGATTCAGCTACAGGCAGCATGCTGATAATCCTCGTTTAGTGATTAGGAATTAGGAGTAGCAAGTTTACTGAATTATTTCAAGTAAGTGATTACTAGGCATCAGTAGTTTTTTTCAGTCAGGTAAACATACACTGATATACCAAGTATATTATCAGCATTTCAGAATAGTATATCAAGTTCTGATCTTCTCCTGAAGATGCTAACTGATAATGAGCCGAAACACATGCCAAGGCATTAGAAATCAGTTTGGTTAGTTCTTTAATCAATGTAGTGTGACCACTGAAGTGTGGCTGATTTTATCATTCTATCAATTTTCTCACTTGCTTCTATAAAAGATTGCAAACATTCAATGAGGTCAGAATCTTTTTCTTTTAATATGCCTTCAAGGGTTCCTCGATATCTGGGAAAACAAGCAGATATTAGTTAAATATATCACTTTTCAGAGTTAAAATATCCTACTTCTCGGCCTGATCCTTATGGGAACCTCCTAAGGCTATAATATTTTGTAGTTGAATACGCAAGTTTGCTGCTTTACAGGACATTTTATTCAACTTTTGTGGAAAAATTTAATGTTGAATTGTACCACACCAAGATACAAATAAAAATGATAACAAATAATAAACAAAACACCAAACAGATGACACACATGACACATTTATGATCTTTCCTGTTTGACGTTGACGTAACTGTACTGCTTTTGGAACATAACTAAAAGTGACTAAAACATAACTATATCCGGATGAGTGACTCCCAACAGCATCCGCATACTTGATCCATCATTCGGGCTTCCAACGAACGACTGACTGCACTGTGTTTTTGTGTTTTTACTGTTTTCATACCGAACCAGGGCAAGCCCTGGTCAAACCCTGAGATCATGTCGTTGTGAGAAACTATTTCGAAAGTATTGAGAAGGAATATTTTCAGATGGATTATGAACATGAAAAAATAAATATATATACGGGGTGTCTCTGGTTTGACTAGTCTGACTTTGACAATCGATAGCAATTAAAATATTAGATACTTATTTCTTTGTGTTGTCGTGGAGGAACTTGTTTTCATTGAAAACAAAAACAACCAGATGACAAGAATGTCAACAAATAATTCTCAGATGTCAGTTCCATATAGTTTTAGTTATATTATAGAGAGATGAAAATTGTGTATATTATTATAAAGAATGGCTGAAAGAATAACTGGAATATTCAGAATGATATTATGTGCTTATACATATTTTTATCTGAAGGAGAATGCAAATTCTCAACTTCAGAAGATTTCGTTTTCAAACTCTCATATCGTGTGTGTTAAATAGATATAATTTAATGTTAATTGTTCGTTGTGGCATATAGCCAGGAAAGTAGTAGTTCCGAGAGTAGTTCTCTCTTGAATCACAGTAGAGAGCTTGAATAAACCGAAAAATAATTGATATTTTCATCACTTAGAGAATGCGAATCCTCAATGTATTTCTTTATACAGTATGGTGAAAATGTATGGAATAAATTCATTATCTCTAACGCATATAAATTTGAAGAAAAATCCTGAGTCAGGTCGATTTTTATTTTCAAATTGACACCTCTTGATATACATACGGAGTTTGTAACGTCATCCGCGTAGTTGTGGTGACGTCATCGATTATTCCTTCTAATGGAAACCCCCTTATTTTCGGAAGTTATATTCATTGTCTATCGAACCATATACTGATATTATCAAACTAAAGTAATGCAAGGTGAGAAAAAAATATTAATTATTTTGTATTTACAACGGGAACAATTACAATAAATGAAAAAATTCGACTTGTATACATCAGAAACAATGTATATCGTCAATCACATTGTATCATTGCAGAAGGTCACCAATTCGAACATTATTTTAACGGTGGTCCATCGGACCAAGCGACCAAGTTCGATCTTAAATAAATGAACTTTGATCTTACGAACTTCAATCTAGCTAGTAATTAATGTCGTTGCCGTCAAAACAAATCTGGCTCAGTATCATTGATTATGAATACGCCGACTTGTAACCAGTCACAGCCTTGTACCGGCGCCGGAATCGGAGGTCGGTGCCGAAGGCACTACCAAATTCCAAATTGGGACAAATCGACAAATGTGACATTCCAATCATTGGATGTTTTTTATTCGATTTGTTTATTTTCCTGATAAAGTGAATTGATTTGTTTGGATGGATTTTGCTGCTGAGTATGATATGAGTTAATGATTGTGATTTGACTTTGATTTGTTGATATTCATTTTTCAATCATGTTCATCTGAAACTTGCTTCCAGATTTGCGTTGTGAAAATGGAGCATCTAGCTCAAGATCTGACCGTGGCCCTTGAAGAATCTGAAAACTGTAGGGCAATCAGTAATAGCGGGTCGAAATGGGGTATGAGACGTAGAACACGATCGGCAGGAAACTTGCGTAAGTATGTTTACTCTGAAATGCACTTTTTTCACATACTAAACTCATTACAGATTTGTACATGAAGAAACCAGGACACAATCAATCAGACGAAAGTTCCAGCAGTAATTCTGAAGTTAAGGTTGAGAGACAGAATAATAAGTTGGTTAGCTTTCACCAGTCTGATTCTGATGATATGTCATTCAGTATCACTGTAGCTAAAGCCTTGAATCAAAGAACATCATTGAGAATGAAATGTCCTTTGCAAAGAGGTAAATATTATATTTTTTGAAGGCTGTTTTTTTTTCTCTGCAAACATTATTGATCTTTTATGTTCACAATAATAGGTGTCAGTCATAGTTTGGAGAGTGATTCTGTCAATGAACATTCTCCAGCTGGACCTTATTTGAGAAGAAAGAGGAAACTGAAGAGAATGAGCATTGATGAAACACCAATACCACCTTGTGGAAAAAGAAAAAGGTCTCAAAGATTGGACATAGTAGATAGTGGGAGATCCATCAGACATGGTACAAGAATCAAACCTCTACATCAAAGTATTGTAGATAAAATAGAGAGGTTTTGTTACCAATCTTCTGACATGGATAATGTAAGTACCTTAATTATTAATCAATAATGAACTAGGAGGTTGAGATATCTGATTTTAAGAATAATCATCAATAATTCAAAAATAATGCAAGAGGAGTTCACTTGAAATCATCAAAACAAGTTTAGATTAGCTGAAAGTAAAACAAAAATCATCTTGAAAAAATGTTATAATCATTAAAAGGAGCAACAAAAATGTTTCAATAAAGAATAAATATATTGTTCATAGATGCATCAGTTTCTGTTGAAAAAATTAGCATTGGTATATTAACTGTTTTGATTTTACCATGATGACTTCAAATTGTTCATTACCACAATGTACTATTTCAATTGGTTGATTGGTCTGAGCCTTGAGAGGAATATTTACTGTTTCAGTCAAATTCAATGGAAATACAGAGTTTTGATGAGAACTGTGAAGTTGCTAGTGAGAGCAGTATCAGTTGGAGTGGGGGAGAAGGTCATGAGGGTGATGATGAACTAACTGACTGGGCACCATCAATGGAAAATTCCACTTTCATAGATCAAACTGCCAGTAATGATACTGATCCTAGGGAGATAAGAGCAGGTGGAGTTTTGATAGGAACATCTTCTCTATCTCATTTCATAATTTTTTTGTAATTACCTAATTCCAAGCCTAATTCTAGATAATAGGATCTCAAAAATTCAATATTTTGCTTTTAACCTTCTATTGATTATATCTAAGACTGGCACCTCTGTCAGGATAAATCACTATACTGTTTCAGCCTCGGTTTCAGCACTTATCATCTTCAGGAGAAGATTAGAACTAAATATCCTGTTATACTTATATACTAGGTATGTCCACCCAACTGTGAAGGACACTAACCACAAAGTAAATGTTTGTCATGGTTGAGTACACTTGTTAACTTCAATCCTATATCACCAAACTATACAGATAGCTATATGGAAACTTAGTTTACATAGAGAATAAATAACACTCTGACTGAAAAGCAAATATGACAGCAATGTTGAAAATATATCTAATAATAAACAAAGTCAGGAACTCTTTTTATAACTCTCACACATATAATAATTGCAGGTAACTCAATGAAAATTTGTGCTTTTCTCTCCTCCATTATACTTTGTTGATGAATGTCTGTCACATTAACAGTTGCTCCATCAATTATGTTGAATAGAAGGGAGAACCAGATCTGCTCTTTGAATTGTTTTTTTCTCAAGAAGGTCTCTTGGTAGTAATGATACCTTTCTTTCCTTTCTTCACATCATTTGTTGCTGCTCCTAATTTATTGATGTAGTTCCTGTAGCTCTGGCCCATGTCCAAAATCACCAGCAAAAAGGCTGTTATGTTGGTTATCACCCTGTGTAGCAAAAAAAATTATATTGAAGGAACATTCTTTGGACATGAGCCTTACAAAATATAACTGCTAATATGCTCTAAATTTAGATCAAAAATCCCTATAGCAGTTTCTTTTTTACTTTTGAAAGAATGCTTTGTAATTATGGTCTTATATATACAGACGTAAAATGAGCCAACTCACCTTTCCACACCAAATTCACTCATGGTTGCCGAACCTATTTTAACAATTACGAACACGCCAAAGAGTTGAGTTGATAGCAACCTCCACCTCAGGTATTCCTAATTGAAAGGGGAAAGTACCGATTGTCTGAAGTGACATAAAGACACCTCTTTCTTCTTTTTCTCTGCACAAGTGTGTGGGTGCGTATACCCTTGAATTCAGGCCTCTTCAATCGGGCCCATTGTACGCCCACATCAGCTGGGCATACAAATTTCGTTGACGAAATTCATCAGCTGAGTCACATTCACATCCTTTGAGTGCAGTACAATGCAGCTTTCCTCTGATGCACCAGCGCGGGGCGTTCAGTGACAGTGAGTATGTGCGATGATGTTTCATCATCCTCCAAGAGTCATCATCATCATTCATCATCTTTGATCCCTATGAGCTCCAGGTGCCTGTTGAGGTGGTTGTGTCCAGTCAAGAGCCCAACTACCATCTTGAGATCCTTTCTGTTGAATGTCAGCACCTCTCTCGTGAGCCTCTTTGAAGGTTCCTTTATATGAAGCTTTGATTGTCTCATTCCTGGTGTGTCCTGTCATGTTTCAAGGAACTCTGTAGCATTTCCTTCATAAAGGACATAGCCGTACCACAGTATATTATCCTTTCTTGTGAAAGGATGATATACTGTGGCCGTACTATTGGGTATTTCCAATATCGGTTCTGGTCCAATGGGTGTCGTTCCTGATCCGATCTTAGCTAGTCTGTCTACCACCTCGTTCCCCGGGATACCAGAGGGTCCTGGCACACATGAGACTGACTTTCCTAGTTTTTGTCATATTTTCCAAGGGACTCCTACACTTGTACACCAATTTAGTTATGATCCAATTGGATCTCAATGCCATAATAGCAGCTTTGCTGTCCGAGTATATATAACTGGTAACTGGTCCACGTCTTCTGCCGAAATTTTCTTGGACACACGTCAGTATCCGAAGACACCTCATTTGACGGTATGTCACTCATCTGCTTTCAGTATTTTTTGCACGACTCGACGATTTCAATTGAAAGAATCTTACGATAAAATCAATTATTGTCAATATGCAAATAAAAATCTGGACACAAAATCAAGTTTGATTATCATGACTACCGATGAATAATAATAGCCATATTGCTTTTTGTGAATATCGAAAAAGTGTGCTAGCATATTTTCTAAATTGCTTTCCTAAGTTTTTTCAATAAATATTGCAGATATGTGTGAACAAACTATTGCGGAAGCTGCTGTACCTGCTTTGTATACCCTGTATTCCCGCGTTTGTCGATGTAAAATCGCTTGTAGGTCCTGCAAAAACTATTTTTTTGATATGTACTGAATATTTCTGCGGACACCCCTGACTGAGTAGAAAGCATGCGCCATATCATACATTCTTCAGCTCCGTCGTGCACAGCTAGTGTACTGCATCCCTCTCTATCGCATCAAATAGTACCCGCAAAGCTACTCTGCTTACACCAGATTTTTCAATTTGAAAGCCTGGCAACCCCTATTCATGAACGGATTTTGCAAGGCAACCCTATATTACTGTATTTGCTATATAATTATCTTCATTTTGATATATTTCACGAGTAGTAAGCATACCGGTGCAGTTATTACTATCAACTTGCCTGTTTGTACACGACAACTATATGTAATATAGGGACCAGAAAAATATTGGCAACCCAGCTGTTCCATATTCTATATATTGTATGCTTTCCATTGTAATATCATTCACGAGATCATTCATTTGGCAGAGATTATAATCTCTGCATTTGGCAAGCAAGTCGGTGAAATTCGAAAAAATATATATATATTTTTTCAAATTTTTATTTATTATAGTCATGAACAATTTTTTTATGGCAACCCTATTGTTACATGTTCAGAAACATATTTTATTTGATAAATAGTTATTATACAAGGAAAAAAGTAATAGATTTTAGCTCCAGGTTGTGTTGTCACAAACACATAAAACCGTGAGCTAAAATCTAATATTTTTCCCGTGTATAATAGTATTTTTTTTCTGTGACAGAAGAAAGGACGAATCAATATTGAGCAGATATTACATTATGAAATCTGAAGATTATCGACGTGAAATTTGAAGTTTATAACAGGAGGGACACCTCGTTGTAGGCATCTTTATCATACTTTTGAAGTAATCAAATATCTGATGTCACTTCTGTCACTCTCATTCTGTGATTTGATTTAAAAAAATTGCTAATTTAGTGGTTGTTTAGTAATTTACGTAACCGCTAAGTCAAATGGAAGATGAAAGGACTTACAGTTCTTTCTCGGAGATGGTATTATTGACTTATTTTTCGGAACTATAGCACAACAAAAGCCATCAACAGTGTATATATGTGTATGTGATAAATATCCGGTAAAAAAGTACTCACTTTTTTCCCACGGGAAAAAAGTAATTTATAAAAAGTGACAATTTATAACCTGTCAACAGAGATGATATGCCAAACTTTTTCCCGTCACAGAAAAAATATAATTTTCATCCGGCAAGCAGATGAGTGAATGTCGACTCGGGATCCTCTACTATCAGTTATTATGAAATCACGAGGGCTATCGCCTGTCAACCGTTGTCGGTCGAATTTTGGAACACCCTGCATGAACGATTCAGTGTGTATATTATAATCTCGACACATATAAACAGAGTGTTGATTGTTCTTGATTCGAATTTCTTACTTCAGGATGCAGGAGGTTAGGAGAGGAACGGCCAGGTTTCAGCATCAGCACCAGCGCAAATGAGAGGGTTGCTCGGTTCCTTAGAGACTCGAGCAAGTCTGAGTTGAGACTGTACGGGGCAGAGCGGGACAAACTCGGTCAATTGGCGGCTCTATACTCGTTGGACTTGTGGTTCGAGAGTCCTAGCTCGTCCTTGTTGAGGAAGACCAGCAATACTCCTTCCATGCAGCCCACGCAGAGGCATCATTCGGGATTGAACGCGATTCACAAAAAAATCAGGACGCATGACCATTATATAGTGTCATAAATCCATGTATATATATTTTGTATTTATTAACTCACATATAACTTGCAATTGATGATTTTTACTTCAATTGGGGTTGGTTCTTTAGTATATATAATTTCTTGGAGAAATATTGTTGTTTTTCCAATTGTCACAAACGGATTAATCAACAAAATACCTGTTATACATAAATCCCAGTAAACACATAATGTGTATGAAACGTATCAACGGAACCCTACATGGAAACTTTTGAAACATTTCGAACAAACGTTTAAGAAATAGGTAGGTACATCATAAACATAAACAATATTTTCATATCCCAGATAAATGTGTCTGTAATGTTTCAAACGCACATAGAAAACAAGTTAACAAAAACTACAAAATCTCCGGGAAGTCCAATTAGTTAAGAACCGAAAAAACAATGAACCGTATAACTTCTTCATTCTCTGACCACAGAAAGTCACAGAACTCTGAAATAAAGAAAGGAAGAATGTTTCAATGGAAACCTATGTAGAATTATTTGAAACATTCTGAATAAACATTTCAGAAATATATCATAAATATGTAACATTTGATATACTTGTGAATATGTGTCTGAAATATTTCAAATGTACATAGAAAACACTGTAAAAAACACAAAACCTCTTGAACTTTCAAATAGGTATCTGAAAACTTATTTCTTCTTCTTGAACTGTGAATACAGAACTGAAATCATTCTGGAAAGAAAACATTAAAAGATGTTTTCAATGTTTTGGTTCGCTCTGTCGTTCGGGTTCGGATAGTTTCGGCTTTCGTATCACGCGTCACGGCATTAAATCGCCCAATTCGCGCACAGCGCACCCGTCATCGGTCCGTCGATCGGGGGAGTTTACTCGAGGGATTTCTACTTTTCGCAATGCGATTTCTTGTTCATTTTTCTATCTGCATTTTGCAAGTGTCAGTTTCTGTATCAATGAATATAACAAGTGGTGAATAAACTGTTTATGTAAAAGTGCACTATTGTGGACAATCGTGGATAAGACATTGCCAACCTACTATTCTTTGGCATTGCCTTCGAAGTCAAGGGATATAGAAAGGTTGAGATTGACTATACGACCATTATCAACACTATCAGCAGGTATGTAACCAACAACTCTATTTGTAGCTTATAAATGGAGTCTTCTCTTGTAATTTAAAACCATTTAGAACACTAGAATACAAGTGTATTCATGCACGACTTAATTACTTATATACTCAATCCCCACTCAATAATTTGAGGTGATTGGTGGATTTGGAATTGAAATCTGAAATAAGCCAATTATCATTAGTTAGAAGTTAAGTTGTGCAGAAATTCACCATACTTTCATAATATGTAGTTTATTCACAAATTAACTAATTGCCCTATGGAATGAATTGGAGGTGGTATTCACTTTTGATATTTTTACAGATGCTGCACGAAAGCAATTTCCTAGCTTGCCAGATACTGAATTGGAGAAACAAATTGCTACATGGTTTCGACAGCCAACACTGAGGTTCAAAAGAGAAATAACCAACAAGCAATGTTTCATCAATGTTTATGAACATATCATTTGACTATCATGGCCTATTCCTCATACGTTTCTTCGGAAACATTGCACTTGATCGATATATTACAATAAATATTCATATTATGCAGTTTTTGTTTTATTTCATACATGTATCGTTCGTTGTATTTTTCATGAGATATATATGAATTGTAAGTACAGGGTGTGATAATAGGTCTCAGCACATATTCCTGAAGTCTAAAGAAGCCGATTTTAAGCAACTTACCTCTTTCCGAAATCGCTCCATTTCCGAGATACAGGGTGGTAAATTTGAAAAATATTTTTTTTAATTCATGAACAATTTTGAGCGGATTTCTACAAAAATTGGTAGCCGGGGGCTCTTTGGCATGCGGACCACTTTGGCCATCAAAGGGGTGTTAACAAAGCACTTCTTAGGGTTAAGAAGGGCCATAACTTTTTTCCAGTGTACTTTTTCACTTTTTTTATTCAAGAAATAATTTTTCAAATATTTTTTAGCAAAAAAGGAACACTTATGAAAAGTCTCTAAAGTAAGCCGATTTCGAGATATTTCGGTTTTAAGTGTTCGATGGCTCACCGGAATATTTAAATTACTTTGAATAAGAAATGCATGTTTGCTGTTATCTTTGTGGATGTAATTTGGTCAGTGAATGAGAAGTGCAAAAATACATTCTCTAAAATACTTCTTTAGGGTGTAATTGTTATGATTTTTATTTCATAAATTTTCCACCCTGTATCTCGGAAACGGAGCAATTTCGGACAAATGTATAAGTTGCTTCAAATAGGTTCATTTTGACCTCAGGACTATATGTGCTAAGATTTTGTACAGCCCTTTCAGGGACAACATAAATCTGATAGTTGATTCGAAATCAACGGAAAAAATCGTATAGGAACTTGTTGAACAGGAACTGGACTAATTTTTTAGTGAATTTTATTTGCTTACTAATGAATTTTAATTTATGAAAAATAAACATAACAAGAAAAAAATTAATTCGTACAAAAACTCCTAAACTCCTGAAAGATCCTATACGATTTTAGTTATTCCGAATCCAAGAACATGAAAAATGAGTCAATTCGGTTCTGATACGAATGTATTCTTCCCTTTTTTTTAGGTAAGGTAACGAGAGTGATTTATAAAATATTTCTACGAAATAATCAAAGAGGATAACAACAATTATGTCTTGGTTACGTGATATTCATCACATTTCCATTTCTGATGATATATTAGATGAAATAATAATTCCTTACAGAATGACTGAAATTGTGCTAGAAATTTTCTAAACAAGTTCCTATAGTATTTTTTTCCCGTATAATCCTAATATGACTTCAGATTTTCGGTAATTATTATATAGGTTGAGTTATTCATAATAACCCAACATAGGAAAAAATAATATTCCGGTCCTGATATTGGTTTCGTTCAAAAAACTAATTATTGGCGCCTATGAGTTTAATTTATATACCAAATTTGAACCTAATCGGACAATCCCTGTATTTGATATGGCAGATGGGATTTGTTGTCAAAATCCATGAATCACTCTGTATGTCAGTAAGGAAGCGGTTTTGGATATTTGTATATGGCATTTTGCAATCGTATTGGTAGTCCATATAACCCCACAAGTTTTGTCGGTTTTATCTCTGGACACCCTGTATATTGTCGGTCTCACTTGGACAGGAAGTTTTTATACCTATTATGTTATTTCACAAAAAGCATGGTCTTCATATATTATTACACACTTCATTGATTACTATCTATCAAAAATGTATCTCTATCTATCAATATATCGATAAACTAATAAATCTTACCTCAAACCTCTAAAGTCTAGATGGTATCACGTACTATAAGTTGATGGTTGATGGAATCTGATGACCTACTTTTCATCTGCAAGATGTGACCAGGAAGTGCAATCAATAACAACATAACAATTAATTGACGCAATCATCATGAATAATAGTAAGAATCTAGTGAAAGCAACAATGATTTGTTTTGCTGGATAACTCTAATTCCATTCAATGAACCATCAAATTCGATAAATAAACACCAGGAAAACCACGTTGAAAAAGTTGGGCTGTAATCAGCTGTCTTACAATTACAAATGAACAAAACGAATTGCAAGAAACCACCGTTTACTCCTAATTTACCGCCTAATGAACCTGATATTACATGATTTGAACGAAGTGTTATTCAATTTTTTTCATAATATCTTCGAGGAGGGATTACCTATACCTATATAAGGAAATTAGATCAAAATTATAATATTCCAAACGATTTCATCTCTGATGATCGCTAGACGCCAAATACATGACTGATATCACCAACGCCAGCAAAATGCTGGTTACGTTAGTGTTATGCACACTCCTTTTACAAGCAGATTCGAGATTTCTCTCGAGCTTTTCAGTGCGTACATCTCCGGAAGATCTAAGTGTCGCGGCTGCCGAACCACGCCCAATTTTTGTAGAACTAGAAAAACACCCGCACGTGCTACCCTTAGTGGCAGATTTGAGTGATTTCAGTGATACCCCAAGTGAAGCTTCCGAAAAAGTGGAGAAAATTCTGCGCAGGCCTGTAGGGTTCTCGTATAGGAACCAACACCCATCTTCATCGGATCTGAAAAAAGGTTCAGCAATACCAGACGCTTCAATAATAGTGCCAGAAGAAAGTCAACCCACGGGCGTTGTAGTGGACCAGAAACCAGCGGCTATTGACTACTACAAACACGTAAAAAACGTAGAAAATGAAGATGACAGTGGAGCAGGCTTCGTAGAGGCAGTAAAAGCAGACGAGGAAGTTGAAGGTGATGAGGGAGCAGACAAAGAAGAACAAAGCGAATCAATCGACCAAAGTCAAGCCAGCGAAGAGCAGGAAGTGGACCACGAGAAGATAGTTGAAGCCGTTTCGAAAGAAAACGATGATCATGAAAATGTAGAAGAAGAAAATGATGATAAAGAGGAATACAATCATGAAGGCGATGATCATGAAAATTATGAAGTTCATGAAAAGAATAAGAGTGGAGGAGGAGGAGGACATGGTCATGGAAAATCTGGTGGTGGTCATGGAAAAGGAGGCGGAGGTAAGCTTTTTTTACATTCCCTCGTCGGACTCAGTACTAGAAGAACTGCCCATAATTCGAAATCAGTGCGGGATTGATACAGCATACATTCACAAACATTCATGGCCTGAGTGGAACTCGAAATCCGTGCTTTCGTGGGTGAACATTTAAGATGGAGGTCCATTGTCTGAAACAATGTTAGTAAACCAAAGCGTGAAAATAAACCTATAGGCAATTTTTCTTCTATGTATAATATATTATGCGAAAAATCTACATAATTTTCCTTAGTCTCGGCCAGGGGTAACCGAGATAAAGCATCTGAAAAAAATTTAACTTGACTTTTTGAATTTGATTTTAAATTCATATGTTGATATGATATATTCGAAAGAAAGCATATTAACTGATGTTCAGTTGGATATGGATAGGAGATATCGACAGTTAGTAATTTTTCTAGATTCTTAAGGAATTTTTCTTCGTCTGCATGAAAAAAAAAATGAGTACCTATTATTTCAATATAGCATATTAACTGATGTTCAGTTGGATATGGATAGGAGATATCGACAAACATATACATTTTATTATGTTAGTAATTTTTCTAGATTCTTAAGGAATTTTTCTTCGTCTGCATGAAAAAAAAAATGAGTACCTATTATTTCAATATACCTTTATGTGTATAAAGACAAATCAGAAGATATTTCGGGAAAAATATCATTTTTTTCCTTGGCTTTGTTCGTTTCGGAAACGAATCTACTCCCGAATTCAAAATAAAAATGGAAAAATTATTCTTGGCAAATCTACTTCGTATTTTTGTATTGTCACTTCTCAGTCACAAACAAATGAGTTGCAGAATATAGAATGTTTTTATCAATCGATCTTGAAATCGTCATTTTGATGTTCAGGAGTGAATATAAATGGTCTATCTACCTATTTATCATCTGAACATTAAGCAACGTTATTGTCTTCGTTCAGAAGAATGCAAGCAGATTCTTTGTTTTTTTAACTTTTGGGTGGAATTATAACATATAACGGAAAAACGATGTCAACGGCTACTACGATGTTTTTGTTACCTCAAAATACATTTCACTTCCACCAATAATATGCATTTTTGAAGGCAATAAGAAATATGAAAAGGGTGGCGGCAAAGAACATCATGAACATCACAAAGGTAGTCATGGTGAAAAAGGCGATAAAGGGTACAAGGGTCACCATCACGACGAAAAGGGACAAAAGGGCCACCATATCAAAGAAAACCATGCGAAGGAATTCGAAGAAAAGGGTGGCAGCAACAAGAAGCATCACCACGACGACGGATACCATGCCGAACATCATCATGGCGAAAAAGGGGAGAAAGGTCATAAGGTTGGTGAAAATTTACGATTATCATATTACCAACAACCTATGAGCCATCTCCTATAACGGGACTATCCACCCTCGATATAACTCTCAGAAAAATGGTTCTTCAAAAAAATACGAAACACCGTTTGACGCAAAAAAGATAATACATACTTCAACGCCCTCTACTCCCCAGATCAACCCGCCCCTCTGTAATTTGAATTGGAATAAGGGTCATGTTTAACATCATTGGAAAGGTAATTCAATTCTGAAAATTTTGGGGTAGCAATTGTCTCACCTGTGATACGGAATGAGGTGGAGCACTGTCTTGTTGAAAAATGAATATTACCTCCCAATAGATTCCAATTAGCATCATCATCAAGGTTCGTGATAGAATGGTTATCCCAAAATTTCCCGAACAAATGGGTAGGTAGTACCTGCAGGACCAATAGAATGGTCAGCACGTTTGCCGGACTTGATTGAGTTCTCGCTATGGAGTAATTTAGAATCCCTCATCTATAAAACGAAACATACTGAGCTGAACAATTTGGAAAGAAGAATAGGGATTGGATGCCAGACAATAACAAGATAAACATCTTCAAATGTGCAAGAGAAATTTGCAATTAGACTCTACCGCACTGTGGGGTGAATGTAGGTCATTTTGTAAATTGGTTGTGGATACCTATTTAATAATCAATTCCGTACATACATTAAAAATCATACCATCTGAACACGATCTCGAGTACGCCGGTGGAATTCATAACATGAATTACCTTTGCAATGTATAACACGTCATACGACCCTTATTTCCTATTCAAATTATGAATTGAGATACTCAGGGAAGTAGAGGGTTGAAGTATGTATTATATATCTATTTTGCGTAAAACGGTGTGCCCCTCCAAGAAAAATCGACGTGTTTCGTCATTTTTTTAGAATCATTTTTCTGAGAGTTATCAAGGGTGGATTGTCTTAAATAGACCACCCGCTATAGAGAGTCGAAATGTATAGTACAAAAATTGAGGGGTTGTATAGAGAGAGATCCTAGGGAAACAAACTACCTGCTTTTCAAAAATCTCCACAATTGCAAATCATTATTTTCTGGTATGGTACACATGCAGTATGGTAAATCTAAAAAAAAATTGGGTGAACTAAAAAAACATCTGAAGTACCTATTGATTTTTTTCAATGATTCGTGTATTTTGAATACTTTTGGGGCATACAAAAAACAGTTTGAGATTTTCATGAATCAGTATATGTAGTATGTAAGGTTCTTAATTTTAACTAACGAATGGTATGGGCTATAATAGAGCTAAAGACAATGCCATAGATACCTGGGAGAGCCTATTTTATGCGCCACTGCATCAATGTGGAAAGGTTGCTTGTTTGAAACTAAGAATTTCCAAGAAAATGCACACTATTTATGTATATTCCAACGCACAATGCCATTTGACGTTGAACCGCCTTGCCATATTATGTTTTATTTAGATCTTTTACAGGGTGAGTCATGACTAACCAGCCATAGCCTAATAACGGATAGAGAAAGTCAAGTTGAGTTGATGTATATATAAGGAAATATATTTTGCCTATTCGTGACAGAAATACAGGGCATTATTTGAATTCGGGGCGAAACTTTGATGAACGATATTTCAGAAACATCTCGATGTTATCGCCTAAAATTCACCACTACTATGGGAAAAAAAAATCCAGAGCCGGACATGAAAAACTCGTATTCTTTTTAAATGTCAAAATTTCGTTTTTCTGAATCGTATTTTTCAAAAACTATCAGCAGAATCCAAAAGATCCGAAAACACATTACAAGTGTAGCTTTTCAATTTGTATACGACACACTTCGATCGGATTGGTGAAAAAATATCAAACAAAATATTGATGAACAATTCCATGATTTTGAACTGGCATATTGTAGTCACATCGGTCAACAAATTCATTTAAATCCATTTCTTGCATATCGGTGTATCATGAGAATTGGAAAACGGCTCTATTCGATAAAACATTCCAGGACCGGACTTACTTTTCTTGGCAGGATGGGACACAAAAAATTATCTAATCGCTGGATAGGTCGTGACGGTCATAATTCTTGGACGTCTTGTTCTCCTGATATCTCACAGTATTAAATTATTATCTTCATATTACATATGAAACGATTGGTCTTTCAGTCTGAAGTCAATACCAGAGAGTATTTTAATAGCTTCAGATATGATAAGAAATAATAGGCAAATTATTCGAAAAATCATAAGTGATCTTCCGACGATATGGAGCAATTGTGTAGGAATTGGAGGAAATTTTGAGAATATCTTCGTTAAAAAATATTAGGATACAGACAAATATTTTTCGAAAATTATAATGTTTTGTAATTCTTACCAGAAACTAGTCCAGTCCTGAGTTTTAATTGAATAATTCCTTTTCCCAACTTTGCTGCTATATCAATGTGCAAAAAAATGATTTGAATACTTTCAGTCGAATGTAGAGAGTAATGTTCCGGACGAAATCGAAGAAATATTCATCTGAATTATGCTTCATATTTCTTCACCAATTCAGTCGAAGTATGTGCCGTACAAATTGCACGAATACTTGTAGTGTTTTTCTGATCTTTCTGGTTCTGATGGAAGTTTCTGAAAAATATGATTCAGAAAGTCGAAATTTTGTCCGTAGTCCGTATAGTAGGTTATCGTGTGGTATGTCAGTAGAGGTAAGTTGCTGGTGATTTTCAGGCGATAACATCGAGACGTTCCTAAAATATCGTTTTTCCCCGAATTCAAATAATGCCCTGTATTTCTGATACGAATAGACAAAATATATTTTTTCACATATATCTATCAACTCACCTTGACTCTCTAACCGCCATTATGCTATGGCTGGTTAGTAATGACTCACCCTGTGTATAGGGCAAGCATATTATTTTTTCGGAGGGCATATGATTTTTCTTTTGAATTAGATAACAACTATTTTGAGCATTTAGCATTCCAGTTCAATATAAAATGTATTTATCCTTGGTAAGAAATACAAAATTACTCTAAACCAAAAAGAAAATAATCAACTACACATGCTGATATTATTCTTACTTACTTACGAGGCATCAGAATTTGTTCGGATATTTTTCAGTTTAGTGAAGAAGGAGATCATTCCAAAGGCCATAGCACCAAAGGAGAACATAACATCAGGAAGAAAGAAGAATATGAAAAGAAACAAGAATTCTTCGACGAGAGTCATGAAGAGGGAGATTTCGAAAAAGATGGAGCATTCTTCCATGAGGATAGTTTTCATAAGGTGAGAAAAATCTAAAAAAAAAAAAATATTCCAGATCGGTCAGCAAAAAAAAGTAGCATCACGACAAATCTTTTTTTCCAAATATTATGAGTTATCAATCCCAACAATAATTATATATGTCGAGGAATCAGATAGATCTCGAAACTCACACAGAACATTGGTATACAATTTTATTCACAATCTGTCAGTTCCTTCAGAAATAATTTACCTACTCAATAAATTTAAATAATATTTCACATTTCTCCATAAACCATTCCAAGACACTTCATCATATGAGGCAACAGGACGAGCTTGATATTTCAGATTATCAATTGGTCAGTTCCCAAAGTTACTGTAATTTTTTAAATAATTCACTGTCTTATTTTGGCAACAATTTTTAATGATGATTTGGAGTGTACACCACCAGAGCGACGTGAAGCTGCTGAAAAAGCTATGACATGATATCGTTTGTTCATACAACCAATACAGCCTTCTATAACTATATACACATTTGCACTTTTGCTACTAGGTGGTTCTGAAGTCTTCATTGTCCTCTGTATCTATGAAACCTCTGCATCTTTGCACTCCCGTCATTCTCTAAGGTCCTGAAGTTTCAGATCAGAATTCAACATAATATACTATATATGTCAGTGGGATATCAATCCAATGTGAGAATATCGTCTGCACATATGTGATATTTGGTCTCCCTGTAATGGGAAAATCAACTGACTTTCCCTGTCTTTAGTTCCTTGGTTATTATTCTAGAGCTAATGATGAGGGGATATTTCCAAAGAAGGGCAACGCAAAATACTACAAGACCGGTTCCGCAAATAATGGTGTTTCACTGAGTGACATAAGCTAACTGATCTATAAATTATAAATGTATAGATTACTAACCGATTGTGCACAATGCCGATTCTGATTATCTTAGAATAATATAAGTACATGCCATTCAATACTTTGCAGGGAGGGCATGAGAAAGGTGGGCACAAAAAAGGAGACCACGAAGAAAACCACTACGGAAAGAAACACAGCGAAGAAAAGGGTGGACACTACAAGGAAGACAAGGGACACAAAAGCTCTGGGGGTCATGATTCGCATCACCATCATGAGGATAAACACGGTGACGAAGAATCACATTCAGGAGGTAAGAAGTGGAAATATGACAAAGGCACTGGAGGTGGAGGAGGAGGTGGGCATGGGGGTGGAAAAGGTGGCCATGGAAATGGAGGAGGAGGTAGTCATGGAAAATATTCTGTGCATGAACCATCTGACCATGAAGCCAACGCAGAGCACGGTGAAACTCATGCTGACATTCATGATGCTGGTGATGATGTGGAAAAAGAGAATGCAGAAATCGAAAATGGAAACACTGAACTGGAAGATGACGAGTCACGGATTGTGCTGGAGAGGAATTACGATTTTGATGGGTTCCCTCTGTTACCGAAATATAGAAAAAGCTCGAAGGATGAATCATTTCAGTTATCCAGGAATCCGTCGAGCAGTGGCAAGCTGCAGAAACGAAGTGAGGATAGTGACGAGGTGTTGATTGAGCTCGCCAAAGAAAACAGGAAACTTGGGAGGACAGGACCTTACAAAGTTTTGGTGCTAGGAGACTATACTACTCCCAAGCCACCGAGGATTGTAACATACCCATCCGAGGCAGATGATATGGTTTTGACGAGTGAAAAACAAACCAGAGAGAGTAAGTTTAGGACTGTAGGAACTGTTATATAATTTTAAATAGTTGCTTCGAATCCAGACGACATGTTATGATTTTTTTTCAGGATGAATTAGTCATCTGATATTTCATCAATGATCAGTAATTATCATGGCAGAATATTCGAGGCATCATCAAGGATCTAAACGTTTTATTAGTTCACTTCAAAATATTGAAACTCAAATCGATATCATATTTGGTCGAAGATTGAAAAGTGTACAACAATTGTACCATTATTAATAAAATATACCTCAAGACACAATAATAATAGACCGTGAGTCTGGTTCTATTTGAATCAGGTTTTGTGGGTGTGGAAGGCAGAAAGCAATTTCAGGATTGAATAGTTATTTATGTATCAAGGGCGTAAAATAGGCTTGGACCTTAGCGTGTAAGTAAAAGCTTGAGCGATAGCGAAGGCAATAACACGCCAAGGTCCATAAAAGCAAATTACTCTCGAAAAACAAAAAAAAATTATGCACGACTGGTATATTTGATTCTTCATTGTGAATAGCTACCTCTGCACCTTTCAAGAACAGTGGAAATACATTCCATGGCTGCAGAGAGGAACATCATTGATGGAGTCAACGTTACTACGGTGATGACTCAGTAAATTTTCTGAAATGGGAGTAGAATAAATTATTTACTGTCAATTTATGTCATCACAGATCATTTTAGGTTCGATCATATCATTTTGGGGTAGAGTGCTGCTTTACGGCCGGTCGTGCATAAATATATATCCTACAGGTATCTCGTTTTTGAAGTTATTGACGTCATCAGTTACACTATTTATTCGTGCACCTAAGCGTGTTAACAGCATAACAGCACTCGCTATCGTTCGGGCTTTCATACTTACACGCTACGGTCCATGGGCGCTATTCTTGAATGTTCGCATTCTTCAAGGTCGCTCGCTTTTCACGAAACTTCGAATGATAGTGGTTGTTTGGTATTCTTGACAGTTCGTATTGTTTGCGAATATTCGCATTTTACAGCGAGCGGATGCTGTTGATCGCAAATGTTCTGCGTATGCGTTGTGAAGTGAATTCTAACCTATAATCCTGGTAGTTTTGTTTATTTGTTGTGAAAAATGGATGATTTGCAATACATTGCCAATTTAGAAAATCTGGAACAGGCAGATGAACCAATTCATCGACACAATCGTTTCCAACGCATTGACCCTTTCGGTACTTTGAGTGAACATCAATTCCTGCAAACTTTTAGGTTCACTAAAGAGTTGTGTAGATTTTTAATCAACACATTAACCCCCATTATGAGGCCTCAGCGAAGACAAACTGATTTGAGCATTACGACTAGGGTAAGTTTCATAACATTGATTATATGTATTTTCTCAGTAAAAATGATTTTATTCAAGGTTTTAGTAGCATTGAGATTCTTTGCAACAGGGAGTTACCAAATGGATATTGGGCATGGTTTATTTGTAACTGTCTCTCAACCGTCTGTTTCGCGGTGCATTGAGGAAGTTACCATTGCACTCAATGAACCACCCATTTTCAACAGATGGGTACAATTTCCAAGAAACTTACAAGAACTGAATGCAGTGAGAACCAAGTGAGTATAGGTAGGCTGTCTATCCATATATCCAAATACCACATGATTATGATTCATTGTAGATTTTATGAGGACTTGAATTTTCCGGGAGTTGTTGGCTGTGTGGATTGTACACATGTAGCTATATTTCCACCAAACATTATTGATGAAGAGTATCCTGAAAACATCTATGTGAATCGTAAAGGATATCACTCAATCAATGTTCAACTGGTAAATTATGCATTTTATCTCAGTATCTAGCTGCAAAATCAATAAAAATGCATGAAATTGATATAATATCACTTCTCTCAATTCAACTAATCTTTTTTTTTTCAGATATGTGACAGTAGATTAAAAATACTCAATGTCAATGCCCGATACCCAGGTAGCACCCATGATGCATTTATTTGGGCCAATTCCAACATTTTAAATGTTTTCACTAATCTGCATGCCCTGGGACATACAAACTATTATCTGTTAGGTATGCTTGTCACAAAAACACTTTGTTACTTTGTTTATGAATCAATGACAATTTTCAGGTGATAGTGGATACCCCCTTAGAACTTGGCTTCTCACACCATTTGAAGATGATCCTCCTGAGAATACACCAGAATATAATTTCAATGTGGCCCACAAAAGAACCAGAAGTGTCATTGAAAGATGCAATGGGGTGTTAAAAATGAGATTTCGATGTCTACTGAAACATAGAACACTGCATTATAAACCAGCAGTAGCCTGTAGGATTATTAATTCATGTGTTGTACTTCACAACATGTGTGTTGAATATAATATCCAGTTGCCAGAGAATGATGAACCAGAGAACAATATAGATTTTGGAATAATTCTGAATGAGGGCCCTTGCAATGATGATAGGAATAATCCAGTGAGGAGAGTCAATCCTGAACTTGCTGCAGGAAGAAGAGTGAGAGCAAGATTGATTCATAATGTTTTTCAGAATAATTAGTTCCTCACCTCCTCTAACAGTTATTGTCTTCTTAAAACATAATATATGATGTTCAAGTTCATGTTTTTGTGGTATTCAGATATATACTTATATTTTTGAATAAAATGCTTAAAGAATTTAACTAATTATATATTGTTCATCAATATTCCTGACCCAAAGTAGGGATAATATAAACTAAAACAGAAAACAATAACAAAATAAAGTTATATCACTTCCTGAAATGAAAACACACAGCATGACTGACATTTCTGAAAAAATAAGGAACATAAAAATAAACTCAAATAACATCATAAAAAGAAATTAGGTACATGAAGTAAATTAAAATAAATAACTTGTTTTGTTGATCTGAGGGTAGGACAGATTAGCAAAAGGCTTCTAATATTGCTTTTATGCCAGTGGAAAGTTCTGAAGCAATTTCTTCAGCAGCATTTGCAGATCTTTCCAATGCAGTTGCAGCCCTTTCTTTAGCAGCTGCTGATTGTTCTTTGGCCACTGCAATCCTCTCTAGAATAGTTAATTTTTTCTCATAATATTTAGACTTTATGGCATTTTTTTTGTCTAGAGAAGCTTTATAATTTTCAGCAGCCTCAGATGCATAAATTAGTTTCTTGCGCGGTGCACGTGGAAACTTTTTTTTCATTATTGGCACCTCTGGATTTTGTTTGGCCACTGGAACTGCTGAAGGAATTGCCTCAGAACTTGTAAGTTCAGAGATCATTACTGAATTGTGATCTCTAAGAGCCCTGGGCACTTCATCTATTTTTTGTGTATAATCATCATCCAGTCTATCATCTTCAAAAACTGATTCATTGTCATGTGAACTATCAAATGTGAAATCAGTTGCTGATTCCAACACTTCTTGGTGCCCTTGTATGGACACTAATTTTATAGTGTCAAGAACTTCATTTTCGAATTCATTAGTTGTGATTTCTGGGCAAGGTCCACCCCCAGTACGCCTCCTTTGTTTGTGGTACTCACTATTTTTGATTTTAGTTCTGGACCTAATGTCCTGCCATGTCTGAAATAAATTAGAAACATTATTTAGAATACAATATATTGTCAATAAACAATGATTACCTTCCGCCAAGATTTCCAATCTTTATCGGTACCACAACTGTTCAATATGACAGTTAATTCTTGCCATAATCTCTGGGCTTCCTTCTGACTGAAATTATTGGAAAATTTCCCGGATGCCAGATTTGGGTGTTTCTTAATGAATTCCAGAAGTATTTTCTTCTGCTCCATCGATACATTAGAATTTCTTTTATTTTTGATTATAGGATTCATGATTTATTTATGAAAAATTATCATAAAATTGCTTAACCTCTACAAAATGTAATCAGTAAACATAACCTGATTCAGTGAAAATGATCTACCAACCCTCTAAATTTCATAGAAATTGCGCTGTTGTCAAATGTGATTTAATGCACGAACGTAAATGTTGGCATGTATCTGCGAACAGTGGTCAAGAATACGATTTTGAGCAGGTGTTCGCAAATCGACTATTCGTATCCATGCGCATACGAACACTTACGAAGGATGTCAAGAATAGCGCCCCATAAAAGCAACTTACGCCCGAAATACATACAACATTTTATTCACCACCGGTATATTCGATTTTTCGTTGTGAATACCTCTTCTTGATAACGATAGAAATACATCATAGCTGCAGTGAGGAATATCATTGATGAAATCGAAGTTAGCATGGTAAATTTTTTCAATTAGGAGTAGACTATACTGGGTATGTCACGACGAGCTTACACTATATCTCTATATCGAGAATCAGTCGGGAGAAATCCATGAAAATATCATTTTCATATTTCAGAATACACTCTCTTCATTTAAGATAATTTCAGCAATACAGTGTAGCCGCTTCTATCGAAAAGTAGCAACAACTTTGTTATTTCAGATAGAATACCCTGTATTTCATTGCATTTATAAATTAGATATCGATACATCAAACTTGGGGTTTATCGGAAATGATTATAGAGATATAGGGTGTTCAAAATCGATCAACAGTTGAGATAGGGACATGTGAGCCTTTTTGAGCGATAATGAATAGTTTTGACACAAAAAATCTTAAAGTTGAAAAATCTCGATTTTGAACACCCTATATCTCTGTAATCATTTTCGATAGACCCTGAATGTGAAATGAAATCAGCTCTTCAGGTAAAATCTAAAAATGAGTATTCCATTCGAAATATCAATTTTGCTACTACTTTCTAGTAGAAGCGGCAATACTGCATTGTCGAAAATATTTGTAATGAAAAGAGCGCATTCTAAAATATACGCATGCACATTTTCATGGATTTCTCCCGACTGATTCTCGATATAAAGATAGTATAAGCTCGTCGTGACAGGGTATTTGCTGTCGATTGATGTCATCAGAGATAAATTATTTTGGGTTCCATCGTGTAATTTTGCATTTCATAAATATCAAAAGAACTATGAAGTTAGATACATCACAACTGGAATATAAATGTTCTGAATTGTACAGCCTATGCCTATTATAAGTTACCTATACGCCGGGCAGTATGTGATATATTCCCAGATAACACCGACCTCTTTGAGAACTGATGGCCGACAATCGAAATTTGTTGCCGTTGTAGCACTACTGAGTCAATAATTTAATTGCCGGTAATGTGTATTACGGCCGGCTGGCGGCCCCCTGGACACCTCTACGCCGGGAAAGTACGGGAGAGGTGTGCGTTACAAATGCTGGGCCGATGGGCCATTCATTTTCAAATTCCAAATGTTATTAGTTCAAGTATAAAACCAACAGTGGCGGCTCCTCAGAGGAGGCAACGGAGGCTGAGCCTCTTCAGAGATTTTCCTTAAACTGATATTATTTATACTTTCTCATTGAAAGGACACCAAAATGAATTGGTTTTGATTTTATTTCCTGTTTTTAGGTAAATATGTTTGAATTGGCAACAGTGCTTGCCCACGCATCACACGTTGAAGTCTGCAAATCACGCGTAAAATATTCAACTTGGCAACATTTTTAGGAGGCTATACTCCTTCACAAAGCGCAACTCACGCGCGCAATGCAAATGCCCAAATACGCCCGAATAGCACGTGTTTGTCGTGTCGCGTCGCGAATTGCGGACAATCCAGAATCCAGCGAGAGTGCATTGTTTATGTTTATGTTAGGTTAATGGTTAGGGGCTCTATAATTTTCTGAAAAATGAGTGTTCTAAACGATTGCGATTTAGTGGAATACTTTTTGGTGAACCCATTCAGTGCTTTGTCTTATGAAGATAAATTGATTGTGAAAAACAAACGTCCGATACCGAAATTAAAAAATCTGATTGAAACAGGTAACAAACAAAATCGTTCGTTCAATTCTGATAATTGTAAAAAATATATCTGGTTGACGGGATCTGAAGTAAGGAATAAGCTATTTTGTTGGTATTGCGTATTATTTTCAACCGATAAGTCATCATGTTGGGGGCGATTAGGATAGATTGGATTGGATAGACACTGCAAATCATAGGAACACATCTCTTCAAGTATTGAGTTCAGGTCAACTGGTAAACAGAATGTCATCAAAGCTATTGATTTGTGTGAGTAGAGATTTGTTTTTCACAATAAATCTCATATCATTCAGCCTCCTCTGTCATGAAAGTCACGAGCCGCCACTGAAAACCAATTGAAATTTTCAAAGGGTCCCGATGGGGGATTGGCTAAATATCATTCATTATTGTTCTTCCATCACCGGTAACAGAATATTATGAATATAATTCTTCAAGGTACTCCAAATATCTCGGATCCAGGTCTGGCAGAAACAGTGAAACAATCATCTGCTATTCTCACTACAACGATGAGCCCTATTGTCGTTAAGGATACAAGCGCAGAAGCAAGTGATATTTTGATTATGTTCATTGAAAGGGAACCAAGCGTCATAAAGAGATGAATGACATAAACGTCTTAGTTCATCTGTTACCAAGTATCCTAGGAACAATTTCATTTCATCAATTCATTTTAGTGTCAGAATATCAATTGTTTCGTTTCCAGAAAATATTGTTATTTATTATTTATAATGTAAATTATTTGTTGATGGATTTTGTTACTATTTATGCTAGTTTTATGCACTCATGTAAGACTGCCAGTGATAAAATGTTATTAAAGAACTTCGTCAAATAAGCTAGTTTATTTCAACTTCGAATCATCAAATTGTTCAGTATGGAGGAATCCATTTTACATTCATTGGGATTTCAGATATAAGATTTAAAAACATATGAACGAATTTACATAATTTTGGCAGGGTTCAAATTTTCATGGTGAGCATGTGAGCAACGATAATGCTATCTGGTCATGATCGGATCGATTGAAATTATAATTATTGAAGGGTGTTATTTTATAAGAAAAGTAATATAAATGTTCATGACCATGATATACCCAAGGAATTGTTTCGGCGAATTTACAACATTTGTCGATGTGTTCAGAGAGTTGTTTCTGCAATTTTTCTACTCTCTTCGATATGTTCGAATACAGTTTTTGATACTTTCAGCAATATGTTCATAAATGTTCAAAGAACTGATTCGGCGCCGTTACAGTCCGTTTCAATGACAAAATAGTTGTTTCGGCTTTTCGGCCACTTTCGGAAATGAGTCAAAGAAATGTTTTCGATAGTTTCTCAGTGTCATACTAGAACCGAATTTACGAAGAAAAATATTTTATATTTTTATGTTGAGAACGGGAGCAGATTCGTTCCCGAAACGTCCAAAGCTAAAAACGAGGAGAAAATCCCAAATAATCAAGTGAAATGATTATATGATCCGATTTTATTCAAAATTGGTATCTGGGGGTTTTCGGGGTCAGAGATTATGATTTATGTGTCAAAATTTGTTGTAGGAATACTAATTTTCTAAATAAAATAACAAAATTCGTTGCCTACGCCCATGGTCATCTGACGAGGCCCGGGAACGGTGTTTTATTTTTTACGGTCACAGCCAGTCACAGCCGTCTGAATTTTCCCCGAGAGTCGAGAGTGAGCACTGGACCGTAGTCGAGCTCACGTCGAAGTCGACACAAGATAGTTTTTTGAGTTGTTAATGAGCAAGAAGACTCAATGTTGTCCAGTATATTGATGTTACTATTACTCGTTCCGAATGTTATGGTTCATGAAATATAATACTCAGTGTATTTCTTGAATGAGCTAGCTGGTGCCCTAAATATATAACAATAACCAAAACTGAGATTGTCGAAAACCAAATAAACGACAACATGTCGCCCAAACGTGAGGCTTTCTACTGATGGAGATGCAGTCGACGGATTTTCGACCTTATTGACAATGGAAATGAGGGATTCTCGACCTTATTAAAAATACAAAACTGGAAATAGTTAATTCGGTGAGTACAGTTTATTTTAGTTAATTTATGGCATTTATAATAATACCAGTGATTTTTCATGTTGAATAATGCTTTATTGGCTGTATATGTTGCGTTTTGGTTTTGTGGACATAACTATTTATCTACTTTGGGGTAAAATAGATGATTCGAAATTTAGTTGTATACCGGGTATTTCATTTGAATAAAAATAAAAGTGTTTTTCCGGAGAATGATGAACAAATTTTGATGAAAGGTATAATCAATTTGATCAGTTTCGATTGTACTGGGAATTTCTAAATTTCGAATGAGTGATTTTAGCCTGATAGTACCAATACCTATTGGTTTGATTGATTTTTTTTTGAAAATAAAAGTTTGATCGTTTTTCTCGGGAAAGAATAAATAATGAAAACAGAATCTACATAATTGATATAAAAAATGTCCGATAGCAGTGATGAAGACATATTTTTGGATTCTTATGAAGTACTTGATAGTACTAGTACTGAACAAAACAGTTCTAGGAATACAAATCCATTTTTATCTTCACCACTCACTAGTACTAAAGTACATTTTGGTTCAAATACCATAAAATATTATGGCAATTCTGAAGATTATGGAGAAAATAGTAATTCCGCACAATTTCAATCATCATATCAGGCTCAAGGACAATTCATCCCACCCTCAAATCAGATCAGTCAACAAACCAGAGAGCAGCCCAGTTTTAATTATCAACAGCCAAATTTTGTTGCCCAAAATACTATGTTAAATAGACCTGAATATGTTAACCAAGGACAATACCATCAAGTGCCAATTATACATCAATCTCGGTATACACCTCATCCACCAAATTCAAATTATGCTCCGTTTGAGCCCATTTTTCAAGCAAGATCAAGGTTATCATCTGATCAAATACCTTCTACCTCTAAAGTAGACAATCAAACTTCACAGCCATTTTCGAGGCCATTTCCAATAACAAAACCGAATATTTCACCCCGAGTTTCACCTCCAATTACTCCTGGTAGTAACATTTCAGATGTAACTACAGCATTCTTATCTGCAGTACAAACTATTGCCCAAAGTATCCAAAAACCATCGAATTCGTTCGATAAGTCAAAACTTCATTGTTTTGGAACAGATTCAGAAGATCCTAATTTGTTTTTAGAAAAACTGGAAAATTATTTTACCCAAAATGAAATTCTCGAACCTGAAAAAGCAGATATTGCTTCTACATTTCTGAAAGGTGTTGCAGCTCAATGGTATCAGCCTTATCAACAGTTCCCTGTTAGCTGGGATATGTTTAAGTCCAGCTTTCTAGCACGATTTAATAGTACTGCCCAAATTACCCAACTTACCACGAAATTATATGGAGAACAACAGTCAGAAAATGATGAAGTAAATCTTTTCATCACACGAAAAAGATGTTTATTTCACAGACTTTCACCAGGAGTTTCAGAAAAAGTACTTATAAACTTATTGACCGAACAATTAAAACCAGAAATAAGGTCACGTGTACGTGGACTTACTTTCAATTCTATTGAACAACTGGCCCAAATAACATCAGCCATAGAGAAGGACGTTTCGAGAACAACATCAGATCATCATCAGAAGAAATCTAATAACACTGTTCCTGTGACTAGACGAAATGACAATAGTTCTACGACAATTCAAAATAACAACCATTATAGAGATGCCAGAGTGAATTCAGACACGAAGGTGAGGTCAAGTCTTCCACCTACGCAATGTAGATTTTGTTCAGAATGGCATTATCATAATCAGTGCCCAAAAAACCCGTATATTCATCGTCAAGACAATCATCAGAGAGGACATCAATTACAACAAAATACAGGAGCTATTCCTAAGGTGTCAAGACACGCCGAAGCTTATCAGGATGAAGCTGCTGGACTTCCAACGACAAGAACAAAAAACTAGACAAAAATCGGGCAAATACCTGCGAGTTCCCGATTGTTATGGCATCGCAGGGAGATATTAATACAATTCTACCGAAAATAACCATCAAACTTGGAAATATTGTCATAAAGGCACTGTTGGATAGTGGTTCAAATGTAAATATTATTCATTCGAAATTTATTGAAAATCTGGAACAGTGTAATCAAAATTTGGTAAAGACTGTAAAATTTGGATTTGGTTTTGGAAAAGTTAATACCAGAGGTTTTGTTGAACTCACTTATTCCGTTTCAGATTTGACAATCACTTCAAAATTTCTTGTTCTAGATTCATTGCAAGAAGATTGTCTTTTAGGTTATCCTTGGCTTTTAGAAAATCAAGCAGTTATTGACACGATGAGGAAATGTGTATATATTGGGAAGGATGAACGTCGAACACTCTACATCACTGATTCTTCTAATAAAAATGAATCCCCAGTATTACATAATTTTAATTTTGATCATTTGGAATTTGACCAAAGAAATGAATATCTTGAACTTTTCTGCGAATTTAATTATATATTTGATGATCCAGATATACAGTCGATAACTCGCACGGTGAAACATGATATTCGTTTAACTTCTGATGAAGTTGTACGAATGAAACCTTATCCTTTGAGTGAACATAAGAAACAAATTCTGAATGAACAAATTGAAAACATGTTGGCAAAAGGAGTAATCGAGTCTTCGATTTCGCCTTTTTCTTCTCCACCTGTGATCATTGAAAGACCAAATAAGAAACCCAGATTTTGTATAGATTTTCGAAGGCTCAACTCTATTACTGCTGATGAAAGTGTTCGACTTCCAAAAATTTCAGATACCATCAAAGAACTAGGTACAGCAAAAATTTTTACCGCATTAGACTTACGTAGTGGCTATTGGCAAATAGCATTAACGGATAGAGCTAAGCCTTTAACGGCATTTAGTACCCCAGATGGAGGTCATTATCAATTTTCGGTTATGCCATTTGGGTTAAAGAATGCTCCTAGTTCTTTTCAGAAACTCATGTCACAAGAAGTTTTGAGTGGTTTTCTTCATAAATTCACCTTAGCATATTTAGATGATATCATCATTTTTTCGGACAACCATGAGGATCATAAAAAACATTTACGTTTAGTCTTTGAAAGGCTGACTTTGCATAATCTGCGTGTTTCTTTAGAAAAATGTAATCTGGTAACTGATAATTTGGATTATCTGGGACATTCCATTGTGGGGGATTTGAGCCAGCCACAGCAAAAGCATCTGCAGCAAATAAATCATTTTCCTTTACCGCGTAGTAAAAAAGATTTGCAAGCGTTCCTTGGAGTTATAAATTGGGTGCGTGAGTATGTGCCTCGATTATCTGAACTAGCTGCTCCGTTAACAGATTTGATCAGTAGTAAAGTCAAATGGAGGTGGGAAGAATGTGAACAGGCAGCATTTGAAGCTGTAAAAACAGCTGTTTCACAATCAGTAGCGCTACACCGTCCTGATCCTGCCTTACCTTATTTTTTACAAACCGATGCATGTGCCATCGGTATTGGAGCTGTTTTATATCAAATTGGAGTTGGTGGTGAGAGGCACATAATCTCGCATTCGAGTGCTCGACTTAATATGACAGAAAGAAAGTACCACATAAACGAAAAGGAATGCTTAGCAATTATATGGGCCGTTAAAAAATATCGCCCTTATTTGGAAGACAGTCATTTTACCCTAGTCACTGATAGTCGTGCGTTACTCTGGTTAAATAAACATTGTGATGCTAAAGCCAAATTAACGAGGTGGTCATTACTTCTTTCGGAATTTTCTTTTGAAATTCAGCATTGTCCTGGGTCTCAAAACCAGTTACCTGATTTCTTGTCACGAAATCCGTCTATTCAAGAGGTTCCGATCGAAGTAAATGATTGTTCACGAATGTTTCCTCCTGATAAAATTGACTGTGATGTTGAAAGTGTATCTCGAGATGTCGAGATATTTGATAATATTTCGGATACTATTGTGGTACAGCTCATAGCACCTCTTGATGAATCTACTATTTATTCTCAAGCTCAGCAAGCCCAGTTGAGTGATAGAGAGTGTCAGGAAAATATTACTCGATGGAATCTTATATTTGAACGTGGTCCTTGTTCAAAGAGTGAACAGAACTTTTTTAATAAGTTTTTCATAAATAATAGCCTTCTGTATTTACGTGATAATTGTCAGCTAGTTATCCCAAAATATTTTGTTTCTCGAATATTATATCAATACCATGACTCTGAGTTTTCGGGTCATCCAGGTAGGGATGAAACGTATAGGCAGATAAAGTCGTCTTATTATTGGCCTAATATTTCGAGAGATGTGGTCAAGTATGTTAAGAATTGTATGGTGTGTCGATCGATAAAAACGCTAAAACAGCCTCGTGCGCCATTAGAGTCCCACAGTCCTCGAAACCCATGGGAAATGATAAGTGTTGATGTAATGGGACCATATCCTAAGTCAAAAAATCAAAATCGGTTTATATTAGTAGTGGAAGACGTGTTTTCTAGATGGTTGGAGGCTATTCCAGTTAGGGACTCCACCACGAAACGTATTATCAGATATATTGACGAAGAGATTTTTTCACGATTTGGATATTCTCGTATTATAATATCGGACAACGGGCCACAATTTATGTCACATCTTTGGGGTGAATTCACAAAAAAGCACAATATTACTCATGTCACTACAGCTATATTTCATGCTCGAGCTAATCCTGTTGAAAGGAGAAATAAAGAATTTAAATGTACATTAAGAGCTTTTATGATGAATAAGAACCCTCGAGACTGGGATAAGTCGTTGCCCCGCGTCCTATTTGCTATTAGGTCCCGGAGGAATGCTGCTACTGGCTGTTCCCCTGCTATGGCGTTGCTGGGGTATTCTCCAAATCCACCGGGAGATTGGGCGCTTCCAAGGAACCAAGCTCTGTTGGTGAATCAGGGTAGTCAGCGAGAAAATCGACTTGAAGAAATACGTCACCGTCAGAAGATTTACCAAGAAAAATATACACAACAAAATGTGCATAAACCCCGAACCTTGGAAATTGGAGACAAGGTGATGGTTCGAGAAACACGGCCTGTAACGGAAAATGCTTTTCATCCTACATGGATTGGACCTTGTGACATAGTTGAACGTCACTCCGATAGTATATTCACCGTGATACGAGATGGAATTCCCCTGAAATACCACATTGATGATATTCGATTAATTCCATTGGATGGATTGGAAACAGCGGACGATGATATATTTCATGAGAACGATGAAACCTCTGATGAGACAGATGAAGATGATGTTCCACTGGAGCAGTTGAGAAGGACCCTTTGTTAGTCAAGGACGATACTTTGGATTGATCACTTGATATGTAAACGAATAGATCAGTAACTATATGCAATCCATATCTACTTTTATTTCTCAGACTGTCAGACGGATGAGCTGATGTTTTCCTGTTTTCCTATTCCTACCTTTTATATTCTAACTTTTGGGACTATCAGATGGATGAACTGATATTCTCCCTATTCCTACCTTTCACATTCTTATTTTTGGGACTATCAGATGGATAAACTGATATTCTCCCTATTCCTACCATTTACATTCTTACTTTTGGGACTATCAGATGGATAAACTGATATTCTCCCTATTCCTATCTTTTGTATCCTTACTTTTGGGACTATCAGATGGATTAGCTGATATTCTTACCATTTCTACATTCCTATATTTTTATTTCTGGAATTATTAGACGGACGAGCTGATATTCTTTCTTTTCCAAGATTTCTAGTTTTGAGATTGGCATATGGTTGTGTTGACATTTTCTGTTTGTGCCTTATGAAGAACTATCAAACGGATGAATTGATGTTCTTCTGATATGTTTATTTGTCGAACAGGTGAATTGACAAATGATAGCTATCATCTTTGAGGTTGGTTCTATTGAGACAGTAGTACTGTTATAAGTGAATATGTTGTATCGGACCTTATTACTAGTTTGAATTTTCATAATATGTGAAGTGTTCTTTGGTCAGTGGTCAAATTAAATTTGACAAATTCATTCAGTCACAATACTGTTTATTTTTGTGAAAATTGTAGTTTTCATTTTTAATGTTTGATGTTATTCCAGAATGGGAATATCATGTTCATTTTTTATTATGAGTCCTCATTATTTCTGTTTTGTAATGATTTTGGCAATTTGAAATAAAGAGAACCAAAAGCATTCGGAACGCGTTCTAAGGTGGGGGGGTGTTGTAGGAATACTAATTTTCTAAATAAAATAACAAAATTCGTTGCCTACGCCCATGGTCATCTGACGAGGCCCGGGAACGGTGTTTTATTTTTTACGGTCACAGCCGTCTGAATTTTCCCCGAGAGTCGAGAGTGAGCACTGGACCGTAGTCGAGCTCACGTCGAAGTCGACACAAGATAGTTTTTTGAGTTGTTAATGAGCAAGAAGACTCAATGTTGTCCAGTATATTGATGTTACTATTACTCGTTCCGAATGTTATGGTTCATGAAATATAATACTCAGTGTATTTCTTGAATGAGCTAGCTGGTGCCCTAAATATATAACAATAACCAAAACTGAGATTGTCGAAAACCAAATAAACGACAACAAATTTGAGAAATTCAAGATGGCGGACCAGTTCTGTAACTATAATTCGATTCAATTCAAACTTGGTATCGGGGGTTTTCGGGGTCGGAGATTAAGATTCCTTAGTCAAAATTAGTAAATTCAAGACAGGCGGATCGAATATGGCGGACGAGGTTTGTTTTTATGATTAGATTCTATTCAAAATTGGTAAGTATCTGGGGGCCTTCGGAGTCAGAAATCAGGATTATTTCGTCAAAATTTTGACATTCAAGATGGCAGATCCAATATGGCAAGAGTTTTGTAATTATATATGATCCGATTTTATTTAAAATTGGTATCTGGGGGTTTTCCGTTACCACCGATAAAACGGGTTTTCGCGGTCGGAGATTATGTTTTTTTTCGTAGAAATTGGGAAAATCAAGATGGCGAATAGAAAATGGCAAACGAGCAATCAATAGAAGTTTGAAAAACTATTGAAACAGATGATATATGGATAGCAACACTAAAAAGAAGTAGATAATTAAATATTAAAAGTGAAAAAATATTTTCTTGAGATAATGTATATAGCAAAACAACGTTTGCCGGGTCAGCTAGTATCAGTACCTACTTATATAATAAATATAGCTCCGAATAGAACTGTTTGCTTAGCCATCCTAATAAACAAGAAAAGAAATTCAAGAGATTCATCATTTATTGGAAATCATTAAAATTGTATATATAAAAATATGTTTTGTATACAGGGTGTTTCGAAATTCGACCGACAACGTTTGACAGGTGATAGCCCTCGTGATTTCATAATCATTGAGATAGGAACATTCGGTCTTCAAGTGTTCAGTTCTCGAGATACAGGGCGTTGAAGTTGAGAAATGAAAATAGTTGTTTCGCAATATCTCAAGAATAATTGAATATAATGCATTCAACTTCGGTATATGGTTTCATCTTTGAATGGGCCATTTTTTGACCTGGAAGCCATTCCGGACATTTTGTCCAGTGGTGCCCTACAGGGGGTTGTGGCATTTTTTCCTTCCATATTTTCTACGCCACTGATTGAATTTCGATTATTTCCAATTCCTCGAATTCATTGTTCAATTTTGTTCAGAAAATGCATCACCTTCAACTGAGCTGAAATAAACAGTTTTCGAGATATTCGACCCAAAATAGAAGATTGCATAGTAATATTTCATCATTTTCAGTAGTAGAAAATTGCAAAAATATTTTTCTGGTGTTGAGTAGATTAGATACTATTCAGATCTCATTCCATAGCTGAACAGAAATAGTTATTCTACACATGAAGAGAAAACAAAAATTTTCGTAATTTTTTACTACCGAGGAAGATGAAAAATTACTATGCATACTTCTATTTTGGGTCAAATATCCCGATAACTGTTCATTTTAGCTCAGTTGAAGGTGATGCATTTTTTCAACATAACTGAACAAACAATTCGAGAAATTGGAAATAATTGAAATTTCATCAGTGGCGTAGAAAATATGGGAGGAAAAGTTATCACAACCCTCTGTAGCGCATCTCTGGATAAAATTCTCGGAATGTCTTTCTGGTCAAGAAATTAATCAGTGAAAGATGAAACCATATACCGAATTTGAATGCATTATATTAAATTATTCTTGAGATATTGCGAAAAAACTATTTAAATTTCTTAACTTCAACGCCCTGTATCTCGAGAACTGAACACTTCAAGACCGTCTGTCCCTATCTCAGTGATTATGAAATCACGAGGGCTATCACCTGTCAAGCGTTGTCGGTCGAATTTCGAAACACCCTGTATATGTAGAATCATAGTTATATTTGTATAGTTCTGATATGCTTTAATGTGATGTGAAACCATCTGCATTAATTTATTTAATGAATCAAAAAATCTCCTCAAATGTCCGCCATCATTCATTCATTTGCCCTGATCTTCCTCTTTGAGTTTTTCCTTCTGGGTGTGAGCATTTATATCCTTGACAGGTGTTGAAGGCAGTTGATTCATTTCATTCCAATTGATTTCACTGAAGTCTATCACAATCTGTTTCTGCCGTGGAATGAACTGTCTAAAAATCACCAGTATTATACAGGGTGTTTCTTCACTATAGTTCGAAACTTCAGAGGGTGATTCGTTAAGGTCGTTTTAAAAAAAAAGTTCCTATGAACATATTATGTCCGGAGTTGTTTCGTTTCTGAGGTCTTTACACCTATTTGGTTGAGATTTGTTACATTTAAAGTCGCTTTTTTGTCCAGTCTCTCAGTGGGCACCACAGCCAACTATATTGAAAAAAAAAAACGCCACTGATTTGATACTAGAAAACGCAAAAAAGCACCGTAAATCTAAAAATTTTACATACATTGGTATTTTTTGAATGAAACACCCTGTATTTATTTTCCTAACCGGTAGAGCTCTTTCTTCTGATTGCGTACACCGTCGTATATACGGAAGGAGGTGGTAGGTTACGTGATTTTGAACAAATTTAACCTCATTATTATATACACACCATATACAGGGTGAGTAATAATAACTATTGGGACATAGGCTAAGGGCCGAATGTTTGGACCAAAATATGCCTGAATAAAATATTGCTGTGGAAAAAATACAGGGCGTGAAATTTGAATATATTTTTCTTCTCGTTTTTTGTTGATAATTTCACTGTACTGGGTGAACAACAAAGAACGGCTGGCGGCCATATCACAGCAACGAATAATGATACAAGTTTGAGATAGAATAAATCTAATGGTATGCATATCATTACGCGATGTAATAGAGAAACTAAATCTCAACAGTCCAACGAAAACCGCAACATGATATTTTTCGCCAACGGAAGATATTAACTATCAAAGTTGGAAGAATGATAGACATGACAGACGTTCTTAGTTTTTCACCCGGTATATTTATAAATTGTTATAAAAATCGGCACATAGGCAAATTTTATACAGGGAATATTATTTCATGTATTATTTTACAGTTTGTTACAGAGGGTGCCACGTGAATGATTGATGAAAACGACTGATTGACGAAACTTTTTATTGATTCTGATTAGAAAATATGATATAAACATCATTTCTATGCTGTTTCTATGTAATATTGGTACATTTGTTTGAGAACGATATTTTCATCAGTTTCTAGAAAAAAAGCAATTGAATAGTTCAAAGTCTCGAAATGGAAATTGAAATATTATTTCATTTTTGTAGAGTGTGCTTTGGATAGTCAGATAATTGTTGCTGGTGAATAACATTTCTTGTCAGTGAATGAATTATGGTGCGAGTTCATAGTCAATAGTTTCACAATATTGAAACGCCTTGCATCTTTTTCCACAGCAATATTTTATTAAGGCATATTCGGTCCTATTGCTATGTTTTGGTTCAAACAATCCGCCCTTAGCCTATGTCCCAATAGTTTTGACTCACCCATACACTTTTCCAGAAATCATCCCTTATAAATTCGAAATTGATGGGCGTTAGTAAAATCATTTTTTGAATTCTAGCAAGCCATAAAATGTTTTCAACACATTAGATCCAATTTTATGTTCAATATCGATGAAATACGTATTCAAATTCATAAGAAAAAATAGATACATACAATCAGATAAAGTATTTGAAAAAACGATATCTATTCGAATCACATTGTATAATAGTAAATATATGATGAAATATGTTCGACTTATCAACCCTTTTCAGATATACGTCGGTGGCCGTTTTTTGTGTATTCTGTTTTATATTTTAAAATTTTCAAAATGAAGTGAATAAAAATTACGTGGTCAAGCATTCAACATACATTTCATACAAATGATTAACTTGGCTTCCAGAGAGTTTGGCAATGGCAGAGATTATACACTCCCCGGACATTCATTGTAGCCCTTTTTACCACCAACACCAAACCATTGATCCATCAATATTGTCCACCAGAAGTAAATCCAGTATATAAGTTGAGGACCAATTCCCTATGATTCGCCAGAAATTCTTCAAAGAGGAAATAGATTGACTAACTTTTCAACTGTGGTATAAAACAACAATTTTCCCTCATAGTAGCACTTGCATGGTCACTTATTGTATATGACCTGTGTAATACATGAGCCAATCTAGGTGGAAAATTAAATTTCTGTAAGAAATTTTTGTTTGCTTATGGGGGTAACATTCCAGTGGTAGATGAATTATTGTAGATTTTTGAATGTAAATATTGAAATCCTAACCTATAAGATATTCCTGCAGCATTTAACATCCTTTTTGAAGCTATTGTATGAGTCTTATGAGCATGTTTATCAGATATGTATACCACTTCTTTGATACCAGACTGAATGATAACTTTGGCACATTCATTACAAGGGAACAATGCCACAAATAAAGTACAGTTCTTGACATCAGCAGAGTTCTTGTTGAGAATGGCATTTACTTCTGCATGACATACTGAAAATGTATCATATATATACAGAGTGATGATTCCTCAATACTTTCCATTAAAAAACCTCACCATAAAGATATTTGTTCTCTAGGGCATTTTTAGATTTTTTGGCCCAAGGAAATTCATCATCATCACAACCTTTTGGCATTCCATTGTAGCCAGTTCCAACTATGACATTATTTTCATTCACTATACAAGCTCCAACTTGTGAACAGGGATCTTTGCTTCTCTTTGCAGCTAGAAATGCTGTGGCCATAAAATATTCTTGCCACTCTAGAAAATCCTTTCTTTTTGAATTTATATCCCTGAAACCAAGTGAGCAGGTATGTATGCCTAGGAAATAATTCATTTTTTTTTTTTCATTTAGCCAACTCAAGTATATCCTTTATTCTCTCACACAGGAGTCAGTAACCCAATGGAAATTTGATCCCTACTGTAGAAGTGTAGCCTTAAGCTAAGAAATTCTATCATTTCAAAGCAAACTTAAAAAATGAGCAACTGGTACTTGTAGAATTGTTGCAGGATATTCCAGGAAAACAAAGCTCAACACATTATTATATTAGCATAGAATGTCCCAAAAGTCAATGTTAACCTTTTCAGGACTGATAGGACAGCTCATGACTTACGGGAATGTGAAAATATGACCTTGGAAAAAATTGTTGGTTTTCTGTTTTCCACAGTATTGAATTTTCTGAAAAACGAGTTATTTGAATCATACTTGCTTTTCAAAAAATTTATGAATCCATATGGGAATATTCTGGTCAGTCATGAGATCATTATGAGCATCAGATCATTGTACTACACAATAAAACATTTATATTTTTTCCACTGGTTCCCTGGGGAACACTTCACTCCTGTGTTTTTTCATAAAATATTGTGGTATTTTTGCAAGTCAAATAATCTCAATTTTCTGAAAAAAAAATTTTTTCCCCATGAAAATAAAGGATGAAGAGTTTTAAAATTTTTCCCTTTTCTCCCTGCCCTGGGAAGCCCATTACTCGTGAGTTTTTTCATAAAATCTTGTGATCTTGGTATTGCTGAACGTCTTTATTTCAATTTTTATAAAAATCGGTTCATCTCATGAAATTACATGATGGTTTTGAAAAAATTCCTTAGTCCCCCTATTTTATGAAAAAACACAGGAGTAAAGTGCCCCTCAGGGAGGCTAGGGAAAAATTTCAAAAACTCTTCATCCTGAATTTTGATGAGATTTGATTTTTGTAAAAATTGAGAAGACTCAACTTGCAAAAATACCAAGACTGCAAGATTTTTATGAAAATACACAGGAATAAAGTGGAATAAAGTGCTCCCCAGGGGAGATAAGGAAGAATTTTGAAAACCTTCCATCTTATATTTTCACGCAGTCCGCGATATTTTATGAAGAAACACACAAGTGAAATGCTTAAGAGGGTGACTAAGGACAACATTTGAAAACTTTTTATTATTTATTGTCATGAGATGAGTTTTGTGAAAATTAAATAGAATAGATGATGTTTATTCAACTCACTAGCTATTACATTACATATAATTAACAATTTAAACTATTTTAAGAGCATAACAAATATTATTGAATATTCAATTGAATTGATTTGACTTGCAAAATACCCAGTCCACAAGTTTTTTTATTCCCCACTATTGAAAAAAATAAAAACTTCCCATCCTGTATTTTCATGAGATATGTAGATTTTTGTGAGAATTGAGATGATTTGACTCTCAAAAATACCCAGTGTGCAACATTTAATAAAAAAAAACAGGAGTAAAGTGCTCCCCAGACTAGGGAAAATTATAAAAACTTTTCCTTCTGTATTCTGAAGAGAAAGCCCCCCCCCCGGGCCCCCCCTGGGGGCTAGAACTAGGGAAAGATTTTGAAAACTTTTCATAATGTATTTTCATGGCATGAATCGATTTTTGTGAAAATTGATATATTTGACTTGCAAGTTTTATGAAAAAACTGTTGGGTCACTTTATAAAAAACTTCATCAACTAACATTCAAAGCTAATCACTTAAGCATGACAGATTGATCATGGAAATATCATTGGTTTAGTATAAAACCATTCAAGATTTAAGGAGTAGATCATAAATGGAATAAGCAGTGCCCATCCACAAGATCTTTTATTGTTATTGCTGAATATTTGTTTTTCCATCTAATTATTACAAAATTCAGAATGATTATATTGAAAACAGTTGGAAAATATAGATACCAAACAGATCTTCAAATACACTAGAATGTCACCTGAGGACCTGAGCTATTCAATGATTTGGTTGAACTGTTGTACCTATCCATATTATATTTGGCAAAAGCCCAAGGGGTGAGCCAATTCCTGTTAGGTAACAAATGAGTAGTGATTACTTCTAAAATAAAAAATAATATGGAGATATAAGGGATGATGGTATTATTTTACTGGTATGAATCATAAGGAATATGAAATTTTGATTCCTAACCATAACCACAGTTTCTTTACTAACATTTGAAAATAGTTTTTTTATAACAGAATCCACTTACCCTATCATATCTCCATGACTCTAGTCTCAAGTTTCAAAATGTTAGATATCAAAATTGATAAAAGTTTTCATAAAGTCAACCGATTCAGCTTGTACTTCAATGAAAATAACTATTTCGAGAACTACTTATTTGTTTGTTGGAAATTCGACTTTTGAGACACCCTGTTTATCATAACAATAATTATTGTAATGAAAAGAAAAGATAATTGTTTTATTTAAATATTTCCAACAAAAAGAGGGGCAAATCCTTTTTTTGAGCAGACTTTATTTATAGTTGTTGGTATACTTATGATTCATAAAAATATAAAATTCTTCTAACCCCACTGAAATATTATATAATTAGGTAAATACCTTTTTTGTGGTGAACTCATATTAAAATAAAAAAATAAAAATAGACGAGAAACGAGACAGACAGAACAGAACAGACAACTGAAGATTCCTGATTTCTGATTCTGGATTCTAATATATTTATCCACCTTTTCTGAACAGATTCTGAAGAAATGAAATTTAAAAATTAAAATTGAATAGAAAAAAAAAAGAAGTGTATAGACTGCCGACCAGTCGGTAATCTATACTTTTTTGGGTTGCCGACCGGTCGGCAAACTATACTTTTTGTAGGTTTCGAACACTGATCTATGAACAACAACTTTCTTTTTCGATGCGGTTCAGGATGCCGACCAGTAGACTGGAGATCATTACTACATTAAACCATTTTTAAAATATTATCAATTTCAAGAAAGAATAAAGATGATTTGAAGAAAAAAAATACGGTAATACTGCATTTATCATGTAATTTTTTTTGTTACCTACATGATTTTGTCTGAAAAACACGAATTTGATAATGAATGTGAACAAACCATTATTGATATATTTCACTATAAAGTTACAAATTTCACCTTCTTTTCCGCCTGTCTTCTGGATCGTACGAAAGCGTAGAAAGGCCACTGTTGTGTGTATTCTATTTAATTTCTTTATTCAGACTTTAAAGTCTGAATTCAGACTTTTTTCTCTGAATTCAGACTTTTTTCTCTGAATTCAAACTTTTTTGTCTGAATTCAGACTTTTTTCTTTGAATTCAGACTTTTTTCTCTGAATTCAGACTTTAAAGTCTGAATTCAGACTTTTTTCTCTGAATTCAGACTTTTTTCTTTGAATACAGTATCTTTGCATGCCATGCTACCCAACCATTGTTGAGTTAGTATCGTTAATTACGAATATAGTTCTCGAGTTATTGATGATCTATTTAATCATCAATCTTGCATTATATCAGAAGGATTGATTTGGTCATAAGTTATACTATTTTGGCAGCACTTATGCTGTCAACTACCCAATGAAAAGTGAGACTCACCATATATATTATATAAACTATATTCTCGCTTTTTATATAGGGTATAATAGTTATTTATGTATTAAGGGAATTATGAGGGCCTTAATTGCCAGAGGTTATTAAGGCTCTATAATTCCCGTGATACATAGATAATTTTATTTCTGACTGATTTCATTCATTAGATACCTTCCCGATTGGAAGTTAGACATGTTTTTCCGTATAGTTTCAATGTCATCAGAACGTCAGATGATGATCTTGACTACCGCGAATAGGAGATTCCTTATTGCTACGTTATTGCGTGGTTGTTGCTATGCATTTCTTATTTAATTTTAGCTAGAGGGAATTATAGCATCTATAACATCCCAAGGGAGTTATGACCCTCATTATAGATATCGTAACTATGACGATATAAGCTTATAATGTCACTGTCAGAAATAAATATATTTGAATAAGCATCACATCATTTATTATAGACGTTTTGACGTAGTGACCTGCAAATAATAATAAAATTAATCAACCCCATGAAAAATAAATGACATAAAAGGTAGGTATACTTACTGAAATCAGTGTATTACCCTCGGTATTACCTAATGTGAATGTGTTATTTGATGAATTAATAGAAAAAAGTCTGAATTCAGAGAAAAAAGTCTGAATTCAGACTTTAAAGTCTGAATTCAGAGAAAAATGTCTGAATTCAGAGAAAAAAGTCTGAATTCAGACTTTAAAGTTTGAATTCAGAGAAGAAAGTCTGAATTCAGAGAAAAAAGTCTGAATTCAGACTTTAAAGTCTGAATAAAAAAATAAAATAGAATACACACAACAGTGGCCTTTCTACGCTTTCGTAGGATCGCATTTAGAACAATTTGTCCTTTGTTTCATCATTGGATAATATATATCACGACTATGAACGACACATTTTTTTCTATTTATGAGTCAACTAGAAATATGATTTTCTTGTGATTTATCCATATTTAGTGAAAAGAAGGAAGAATATCATTCAAAATAATAGCGTGTGTAATGTCGTTCAAAAGCAAATTTGACATATCGTATTTGGATTGACTATTGATTAAATGGCCGTCATCTGGTATGCTTGTTCACTAAAAATATGAAAAACTCGCCATAAAAATCATATTTCCTGTTGAATTTTTTATTTAAAAATGTGTCATTGAGGTATTGAGGTACATCTTAATCATGAGTAAATAAAATGTTCAATGACGAAATAAGAAGAGCAAGTAGATGTAAATGCATCCAACACAAGAGAAAAAAGGCGAAATTTCGAACTTTTTCTTGAAATATCTCGATAAATAGTGGTTTCTTCACATTTTCATTATCAAATTCGTGTTTTTCATACAAAAATACGTATGTACCTACCAAGAAAATTTTCGAAGAAAACCCCATCGCATTAAAAAAGCAGTTTTTCCAAAAATTCTTCAGAAAAAATGAGATATTATACTTTTACACAAACACACAAACCTGTTGGTGGATCAAAAAAATCTTGTGAACTCACATATATGTAAGTTCACATTGCAATGGAGGAAGGAAAATTTAGATTAGAAAAAAAACAAAATATAAAAAAAAGTGATGTATACCCAACCCAAAACTATAACGGGATAACGAAAAAAAAAAACTATTCTATGTGGGATTTGAACACGTGACCACAGAATTGATAAGCTAAGCTAATGTCTAACCACTGTGATACTAACCACCTTCGATCATTTTGATATACAGAAAGACCGACCAGACGGGTGACAGACATAATATATACGTATTAATAAACAATACGGATCATAACAGGATGAAGCCAAAAATATGAAACAAATGAATATTCATAAGGATTTGGTGGCATGATACGCATGCGCCATGCGCTATTATAGTAGTCATCTGAGACATGCGTTTCGGTGGACAATGACGTTTACTAGCCTTTCAATCAAAGCAGTATGTGTCTGATCGTTTCGAAACTTTTCCTTATGGAAAGTCATTTGTCTTCAAAAATCGGCTTCATGTTTCGCTATGGAAACAGATAGAGATTATCCGTATTGATTATTAATACGTATATGGTGACAGATACTTGTGAGCAGACATACTATTCAATCCAAATATTTCGACTCAACATTCTGTGGAAATTGCTGACTATCAAAAGGTAGTATGGGTTCAGTGTCATTACTTCAGAGGGGGAAGGAATATGTCACATTCATTTCCGTTGTTTTTCAATCATAAAGTCTTGTCTTATCAATAATGAATTCATAATATCATATTTAATATAAGAAAATTCCAGGTAATAAAATAATAGACGTTGAGAATGATATTCAAATTTCACCAGCTGATCAACTGCTGCTGATTACTTGATGAAAACCATGTATTCCATTGAATGGTCGGCAGTCCAGAGAAAAAGTATAGTTTGCCGACTGGTCGGCAGACTATACACAATTAAAATCGAACTAACTTAGTACAAACGTCTCTTGCCAGTAGCTTGCTGTCGTGCAGCGAAAAATCCCAAGGTTATCAGAAGGTTATGAGTGAGATGTTTATAAGGAATTATAAACATCTCAGTTATGAGGTATTATGAGAAAGGAAAATATTGGAAAAAATCGTAGGTAATTCAACAGGATTATTCGTTGTTCTCAATTTCGAATATTCCCTTATATTTCAGATAAATCGAATGAATTAAAAAAAAATTCTTCGATGTGATTCAATAACATTGAAAAATATAATTATCAATAAAAGCAAATTTGAATTCACGGGAAAACGGATTGAATGGCTGATGTAATTCACTGAAAAAATTCTCAGGAGAAGTCTACAATATCATGTTGAAAATTCAAGTCAATATAATGTCTCAGATGTCATGAAAATCAACGTGTCTGAACATTCTTTCATAAGATCATTGATCAAAAGGGTCTATTCTTTGTGTGCCTTCCGGTATTTTCTTTCATGAATATCTGTCATATAAAAGGCCACATCCAGTCGAAGATTATCACATTCAAAATGAAGAAAGATATCTGAAAATAAAGTTAGTTAGTCTCATTCTGACTCGCCCTGTATGGTAGGTAGGGTAAAATTTACGTTTTCAGGAAGTTACACGGATATGTTCCTATCCACACTGACAAGACATACCTAAATACTACTCTACTCCTCGCATAGCCCCCGTATTGATGCCAACCACCACAGTAGAGAGCTCTGTAAGCTCTCTACTGTGCTACTGTGCTACTACGCTGCCAACGAGAAAGAAACCTCGTAAATACATTTTTTTCTGTGACGGGAAAAAAGTTTGGCATTTCATCTCTGTTGGCAGGTTATAAAATGTCACTTTTCATAAATTACTTTTTTCCCGTGGGCAAAAAGTGAGTACTTTTTTCCCGGATACATATCACATATATATACTTACACTGTTGATGGTTCTTGTTGTGCTATAGTTCCGAAAAATGAGTCAATAATACCGTCTCCGAGAAAGAACTGCAAGTCCTTTTATCTTCCATTCGACTTCGCGGTTACGTATATTACTAAACAACCACTAAATTCGCAATTTTTTGAAATCAAATCACAGAATTGGACTGACAGAAGTGACATCAGATATTTGATTACTTCAGAAGAATGATAAAGATGCCTACAACGCAGGTGTCTCTACTGTTGAAAACTTAAGATTTCACGTTGATAATTTTCAGATTTCAAAATAAGGTAATATCTTCTCAATATTGATTCGTCCTTTCTTCTGTCACAGAAAAAAATAGTGTATTATACACGGGAAAAATATTAGATTTTAGCTCACGGTTTTTTGTCTCCCTCCGCTACGCGTCGGGAGACAACACAACCTGAAGCTAAAATCTACTACTTTTGTATAATAAATAACTATTTCTTGACGGTCAGGTAGACCGCGTGGCGTGGCAAGGCTTTTGTGAGCGCTATTTCAAAAGACCCGCTCTGAGTGAGCCTTCTTGTCTGATAGTTGGTGTTCGATGGTTTTGTTCAGCAGCTGGCAGCCTAATGTATACTTGCGGGATCCATTCGTGACAGCGATCAGCTGATGATAAAACAGTATAGCCAATACTGGTGAAAAAAACATAAAGCCCTGAGGGGAAATCGGGTTGCCGGCCTGTTTGTGTATGTCAGTTTTCATTATTTCAATTTACTTCTGTCATTTTCCAACATGGCAGAAAGTAGTTCGCGCTGCGTTAATGTATTGGAAATTTTTCCGTGTTTGGTG